AGGCATCAACATTGCCTATGTACTGTTGTGTACCAGAAAACAAGAATGGGTGTGGCAGGCAACTCCTAGAATGCAAATAACTGTCTGAGCAGACTTACCGACAAGATCAACAGCACTGTTATGTTAACAAGGCCATTAAGCAATAAGCACCATGGGAAAGGGATGGAGTTCATAAACAAGTCAATTTTCAGGAATTAACATAGGCAAGCTCATTAGAGCCACAGCATGAAGCTGCTCTTCTCTTGTCAGCTTCAGCATAGAGGCTGTCTGTTCTTACAAGTTAAATTATTATATTTGGATGAGTACATTTTCATCTTGTGGCAGGACATGAAACCTGTATGACTCGGGGTCCCCTGAAGATTCCAGTGTAGAAAAGAAACCCGAGTTTCACGTTGTCAGTACTCAGGCAGGATGGCAGAAGGGCTGGTTGCAGCCCATACCATGCACTTCCTGTCTCAGTAAGGTGCCTTGGCCAAATAGCCCAGGAGCTCTTGGGATCTGCAAGCTGCTGCCTGGGCCTTTCCTTCCTCAGCTGCGGGGACCAGGAGCTGGAGAGGCAGAGCTGAGCACCACAGAGTGAGACTTGCTGGGCAGTACTGCACTTTAGACTTTCCAGCTTTTGACACTGCTTCATGATACCCATTTTGGGTACAGCTCAATCTGAACTATAAAGTAACACGGTGTTATGGAACTGCATGGAAGAGTGGCTGTGCAACAGAGTCAAGAGAACACAGAATGAAGAGGATCCTGTGGTTATGAGTCCTGCTTGTGAGGGGGTGTGTGGCCCTAACACTTGTCTTCCAAAATGTTCTGACATGCCAGACTAAGGAATGCACTGCAATGCAACTGTAAAATGCATCTAGAAGGGGAGACACAGGTACTCCTCATCTGCAAGAGGAACAGAGTTGAACAAAGATGATCCAGGGACTGGAGTATCTCTCTTATGAGGACAGGTTGCCAGAGCTGGGCCTGTTCAGCCTCAGGAAGAGATGACAGAGAGGAGACCTCATCCCTGTCTGTCAGTGCCTGCAGGGAGGTGTCAGAGCAGGGACCGGGCTCTGCTCGGGGGTGCTGAGCAATAGGACAGGAGGCAATGGGCAGGAACTGATGCACAGGAACTTCCCCCTGAACATGGGGAAGAACTTCACAGCACAGGTGGCTAAAACAGATTACCCAGAGAGTCTGTGGAGTTTAATTTCACAGACACTGAAGAACTGTCTGGAGACAATCCTGTGCCATGTGCTCTGGACGATCCTGCTTGAGCAGGCAGGCTGGAACAGATGACCCGCTGTAGTCCCCTCCAGTTCTGTCACGCTGAACCCGCCACACTACACAAATGGACTACAGCTCCCAGCATGCCCCGGGCCGCAGGGCCCCGCCCCCGCCGCACGCGCGCCCTGTCGCGTGGAAGGTGAGCGCGGGGCAGGCCGGGAATGCGAGTCGGGATTGGCCGGCGCGCGCCCCGCTTTCCAGCGTGCCGGGCAGCAGGAAGCGGCGGCGGTGGAGCGGGAAGCGGCGCGGCGAGGAGCTGCTCCCGGTGAGTCCCCGGCGGAACCGCTTCCCCACCCCTCGGAGCGCCGCGTCGTCGGGCCGCGACCCGGCCGGGAATTGAAAAGGGATCGATTTAATGCGCGCTTTGATGACGTAATAAGGACTAACGAGGCGGCGGCGCTGCCGCGCGCTGGGCTCGGGGCGGCAGTGGTCAGGTCCCCTCTCGGGGCGCCCCGCGGGACCCCCGTGCCTGCCAGCGCCGCCCGCACCGCGCCCGGATCCCCCGAGAGCGGCGAGCCCTGGGCGCGGGCTAGGCCTTCCGCCTTCGCCCGCTCCGGGCGCTCCGCGGCCGCTCATTGGCTTCTGCGTCCGGGGCGAGCGCTGCCCGCGCCTCGCTATTGGCGGAGGTCGCGCTGACTGACACCGGCAGCCGCCAATGAGGCTGCGGGGCGCGCGGGCCGCAGCCCGCGGGCGGCGCGCGCGGGTGGCGAGAGCCCCGGGTGGGGCGGCCGGGGGTGGGGGCGCCGCCTGGCGGCTGCTGTGCCCGCGATCCCGGCGGGAGCGGCACCGATCCCGCGTCCGCGTTGCGGGGCCGAGGGGCGGGATTGGAATCGTGCCTGAGCGCTGGTTTTGAGGAGATCATGCGGCAGTGTGCATGAAGAACTCCTGCTTCTGCACTGCCCAGGCCACGGCTCCCCCCTTCCCAAGATGGCGGTGCTGTGGGCACGCCGCATCGGCTCCTCCGGCTCACCCGAGCTGCCCCAGCACTGCCCCGCCTGGGTCTGTGGGATCCCTGTGCAGGAAACAAAACATCTGCTGCCCAGAATCCGAGGAGCTCCTGGTGTAGCCCAAGAGAATAATAATAATAACATGTTTCATTGAGGCGGATTTATAAAACCAGCTCGGCGAATCATATGCACGTCACGTGAAATGCATCCAGAGTTACAGGCTCATAAGCCTAAGGCACTGTTTCGATAACTCTTTCAAGGAAATTGCAAAGACAACTGAAGCAGTCCACTCTCTGCCGCACGTCTGTGAGACCACTCATAAGTGGGAATTTGGATCGCTTCTGTCCGTCGTCCTTGGCTGCTTTGTTTTCCCAGTTGTACTTTTCACTCCTTCCTTCAAAGCAGGAAGCTCTTACTGAACATGAGCTGTTTTGTAAGGCCTTTTTCTGCAGTATGACCGAGGTTTTTAAAATGGTTGATGCAGCTGCATTTAGATACATAGTACATTCACATTTTTATAATGAACTGCCTAACAGAAACTATGTTTCTTACTATGTTTTGTAACAGTTCTAAGAAAAAACTTTTTAAAGTATCTTGTGTTTGCTAGGCTAAGGTTGCTTTATTATTTTGAGGTTTGGGGTGTTTCTATTTAAGATATCCCTACAGTCAGTTTGGAAGTAAAGCAAAAACCATGGGAGATGAAAATCATGAGAGCTGGATATAAAATTTTTCTTTTTAGGAATTATGATTTTTATTGCAAGTCATCTACCCTTTTGTAATGTGTCAAAAACGGTAAGAAGGATTAAACTGTGAAGTTTAATCCACATGAGTTTAATTCCCACATGTGACTTTATGTAAAATACCAGATGGTGAAAGAAAGGCAGGAACTTCTGATTGTCTTAGACTCATCATTACAGATGAAATGAAGAGAATGCAGCAGCAGCATCTGTTCCCTTCCACCTCATCTTCCCCTGCACGCTGGGCTCCTCTGCCCACTTGAAGACCCTGACAGTTGTTTCCTGTGCAAAATACAGAATACGTAGAATTTTCTCAAGGAAGGATTTGCTTTGATGTTTGATCTTTGTGTACTGTCAAGCCTCTTCAACAAGAAAGGAGATTTAATCCCTGATATAGAGAAATTACTTGTGGGTAAAATTGCCTTCTTAAGCTTATGAAGACATACTTCATTGATCTCAGACCTAAGGGCAGGCTAACAAAGCCTGGGAAAATGGGTGTACCACTGATAGGGGACACGGAGAATCTAGAATTTAGAGGCCACAGGGAAATGTAGCAGAAACCCCAAATAAGGAAGAAACTGATTAAGCAAACTTAGCAATTGTGTTGGAATTGGCTCCAACTGGATAGCAGGTAATTCTGACTGAGGGAGATTGCAAGGACCCACCCAAGAAACCTGATCCAAAAGAAGAGAGAGACTGAGCATGTGGACTAATTAGCACAGGAAGCAAGAAAATAATTAACCAGTAGAAGAGAGAATACTAATTAATTAGGGAACTATGTTACTTGTAACCAATGAACACTAATCCTTTTGCTTGGTAAAATGTATAATAATTAGTAAAAAGTTTTATAGTGGGTATTTGATTTGTGGAATTCTCCTGGGCACCCAGGCCTGCACAACTCTAAAATAAATAATCAGTGCCACCTCAAGTGTGTAGTTCTTGGCTCATTGCACACCAGGTAACGAATCCAACTTTTGCAGACAGCGTTTCTGTGGTTGGCAACGTAGCAGTAGCAGGTAGGGCTGGATTTCCCTAAGTAGTTGCTTCTGCTCTACTTATTTCAATTCTCTTGGCAAAACAACTTTTTCATGGGTGACTTTTTTCTGAGAGACAAAAAGGAGTGTGTCTTTGTGGTGTAAACAGGAACTCCATAATTCTGTTTTTCTGCAGCATTCTAAGTGTAAGCCACATTAGTGTGGGAGTTGAAGATGAGCGTTGCTGCATAGATCTGAAGTAATTTTGCCTGGAGGTAATTTGTGAAGTGATTTCATTGAAGCACTTGGATGCTCTCCTGAGGTTCTTCTGGATATGCAGCAGACTACTGTCTGCATCTCATCCACAGGCACCGAATTCTGCTAACCCTCTCCAGGTCTGAGATCCTCTGCAACTCCCACCCCCAGCTATGTTTATTGTGTTAGTAAGGGAGGAAGTGCTATCAGACTACAAGCATTATATGTCAGAAGGCTGGCAAAGAATATTTCACTTTACAAAGAAGTGTAAGTAGGATGGATGAATAAGCTTGAGAGCGAATGAAATCCCTGGCAATTGTAATGCACTCAGAAATTTAAAATTGCTGCTGTATTACATGCATATTTACAGGAAGTAAACAACATGTGTTCATGAGCTGCAAAGTATGACTTAAACATAAAAGTTTTAAGAACTGTCTGTTAACCAGGTGGATTGGAGGGATTGTAAGAACTGTATGAATATTCTGAGATTATGCTGCTGGTATTGGATGAGTAGCTGTGGGATGTTGCATTGCTGTAGTATTTGCTTTGAGGGTGGTGGGTCCCTGCTGAATCTGTAGGATAAAGAAATAGCCGCTTTGGTTGTTTCTTCATGTGTCCAAATAAGACAATATTTCACATAATTAACTGTGCAATCATTACCTGTTGGCTAACATTGGGTAAAAAAATGTTACAGTTTTTCCATTGGTTTTGTAGTCCTGGCAAAGTGATAGATCACATTTGTATAATAACCTGACTCGGCACAGTATTTACTGAGTGGCACAGTATTCTTAATCTCATACCACATTTGTTTTCAGACCAGGCCTTTTGCCATGGAAGCTGAGGAAACGATGGAATGTATCCAGGAATTCCCTGAACACTATAAAGTTATTTTGGATAGACTGAATGAACAACGTGAGCAGGACCAGTTTACAGATATCACTCTGATTGTCGATGGTATGTACAGGCCTGAGAAATAGTTGGTATTCAGAGAATTCTGAAAGCTGTGCTGGAATGCTGTTGGATTTTTCATGGTCAGATGTCAAATGGGCTATGAGCCAATTCTTAGTTCCGTACCTGTGTGCAAATTACTTGTAATTCATTGTAGTGGTTAATAATTTTGCTTCTGCTTTCCCAAACAAGAGACTAAAATGTTTTCAGATAGAAGCCCTCTTTGAAACTGCTGTGGTATATTTAATGTGCTAAGGATTCCCAAAACATTGTTAAAATACTTTTCTCTGATTTGAGCTGACTGCATGCAGAGAACTTTTACAAATACTGTGTTTAAATTTAAAAAACCCACACCTTGAAACAATATTTGCTTCTCATAGCAGCTTCTCTAGTATCTGTTTTAGTGTATACTTAGGAAAAGGGTAGAAGCACACACTTTTTGTATGTGTTCTGAGGGCATAAGAACTGTTTTAAAAGGATGATGAATATACTAGTGCTTATCGCTTCCTTAGAAAAGATGGTATGTGGTAGATCATCAATATCTTCATATTCCAAACATGTCTTAGAATGGATGAGCACTGCAGGGAATATAGTGTTCCCTAGGCCAGATTTAGCTAAGGGAGTAGCACCGGACCTTTTAAAGGATAGCAGCAACTCACTTGAAGAAAAAGGATCCTACAGAGTCCAGATTAGAAGGAGGTAAGCAAATGAAAAAAAATATTCTTCAGGGACAGCCACAGTTTCACTAATAGCGCTTGCCCTGAATGTTTGCTCCTGCTTTGTCATTACCAAATCCTTGTGTTGAACTCGGAGCTGGTTTTGTGTGCAGCTGTGTAGTTCTAATCTGTGTGGCTTTCTTTATCCCTGGTACCACTGAGCCCTATGAATATGCATGCCTCCACTGGGGAGAAGAAATATGGACTGTGAAAGACAGAAAGAATAGAGCAGAACCACTTTTGTTCTGTGGTGTTTATGCTGGCAGTGGTGATAACTTATATCAGTTATAAGTTTGTTGTGTAGGAGCAGCAAAACCACAATGTATACAGAGCTGAGCCCAAGACAAGAAAAGTTTGCATAGAAATTTCCCATAATTCATTTCTTAAATATCTGAAAATAGAAATGAGTGAGTGAGTCAGTCACACAGTCAGTGAGTCAAAGGAGTGAGTTCTCCAGCTAGTTGAGTTGCAGAGCTTTAGCAAGGTCAGCAATGTCAGCAAGATTGTGTGTGAGAGGGGATGAGCCAGCTGCAGTACTATCCTATTTTACAAGGAGGATCACTCAGTATATGCTGCTGGAATGGATGTTTACACTGGGTCGTCTTTTTTCCTGCATCTGGACTTACTCTGCACTATGAAGGGAGGAAGGTGTTACCTTAAACCAAACGTTTTGTCTCCATTTGCAGGTCACCATTTCAAAGCTCATAAGGCAGTTCTTGCTGCCTGTAGCCAATTCTTCCACAAATTCTTCCAAGATTTCACTCAGGAGCCTTTGGTGGAGATTGAAGGTAATCTGACTTGTGCAAATAAAAACCATTCAGAATTATGTGCTCAAACTGCAAATTATTGTAGCATCCTGAGTAGAGTCTAGTGTATAGAATCATAGAATGTTTAGGGTTGGAGTAATAGAATGTTAAGATTATCTAGACCCAACCTCCCCTTCCATGGGCAAGGATGTCTCCCACTAGACCAGGCTGGTCAAGGCCATATCTAGTCTGGCTTTGAACACTTGAACATGCTTGGTCATTGCAGTTAACTTTCTAGATCTTAGTTCTTGAGTTGTTCTGAGACAGCTACCATAACTGGAAAGAAAGCCTCCCTGAAGAAAAATCAAAATGAGAACAGTATTAAATGTATTGGAACGGATAATGTGAGATTATGTGGTGCTTTTTCATTTTTTTCCCCTCTTCTTTCCCCTAATACATGGCTAGTGAAGGTCAGGCAGACCCTGTATATGTTTTTAGGACTAGCAGTACTACACAAAAGCTTTCCCGAGAAAAGTCATCCTGGTCAGCTGAAAAAGGCTGTCAGTGGTGACCAATGGCAGGTGCCTTGGCTGGGATGCAAGAGCAAGGCCAACATGGGGCAATACTTATGTGGTAGGCAGGGAGGAGATGAAATTTTTAGAGCAGCATTTCAGCCTCCAGGAACAGTATTTTTGTGTTTAAATCTCTATATTATTGAAACAGCTCTTTGTCCATCTTACCATTCCTTTTATCTTTGTCATGGCAAAACTCCACAGTTGTTTCAGACTATGTTTCTCTAGTAGGATTTTTTATTCCAACATGAGTGAGGTTGGAATTATATAAAGATCTCTTCCAACCCAAACCATTCAGCGGAGCCATTTAAGGGTGTGACCTTTATAAAACTGGCGACTACAGTACTGTGATCAAAATGCAGGCAAGTGTGCAAGATTCTTTGAGAAGATGAGGCTGCAGAATTGTTAAAGGTCGCTTGTTTCTCTTGCCTGTACACAGGTGTTAGTAACATGGCATTTCGTCACCTAATTGAGTTCACCTATACAGCAAAGCTAATGGTACAAGGTGAGGAAGAAGCAAATGATGTTTGGAAAGCTGCAGAGTATCTACAGATGCTAGAAGCAATCAAAGCACTTGAAATCAGGTAAGCACATAAACCTCTTTTTCTTTCCAACACTGAAGGAGAAAGTCTCAATAAGGCTTTTGCACGAGTTGGCTGCCAGTATTTTGCAGTGCTGTTCCTTATGGTGGAACCTCCTTAACTTGTGTAGAACCATATATTCTGCTACTGTAACATACATTTCAGAATTACACAAGGTAAAATAAGAATGTCACGATCATTGGGCTAGAACTCAATGACAAGTGACATGGCTTCTAAATGTTGCTGATGTTGTAGGGCAGTGACTCTGTGGTACCTGATAGTTGGTCTCTGTGCTGTCTGATGGTCCACACCTGATTGACAGCTGGCTGTGCAGTGACAATGTGTCTCTGGTAATCAGACAACATTAATAAGCTTGTGCTTGTTTTGATTTCATGGTGCTTGTTTTGTTTTGTGGTGTTTTGATTTTGTGTAGCTTTCTGCTATTTCTGAGGGAATAAGTAGCAATCTTAAAACCTCTTGCTGCAAAATTAACCTCTCAAACTTCTTGAATGAATGTAACTGTTGAAGTCGGTTTTATGTGGGTTCAATACTCAATCAAATGTTGCTGCAGCACCTGTTATCCAGTACCAGGAACTGTAATCTATTGCAAAAGTCTAGCTTGAAAAAACTGGGTGCCAGTCCCATCATGCTGTTTTTCATCCCCTTTCTTCCATTTCACTTCCATAAAGTACTTTCATGTTCTCATTCCTTCTGCATGCTACACTAGTTGCTTTTGGTATGTGATCCAGGAGCTCCTTGCAATGTTGCTGTGATCTGGTAGACATTAAAAATCCAAGCTATATGAAACTGTGTTTAGCTACTGTTTTCCTGTGTGTGCACAGATGAAGTTGCCATTTATAAGCTGTGGCCTGCATTACATCATTAGTTACACATCTGACAATATGACTTGGAGATACTGGGCAAAGTCTTGTCTCTTGTTACTAGAAAGCCTGGAAGTGATAGGGAGTGCATTACATGAAAGGATTCATCATGGTGTAGAGAAGGTTAAAAGCACACTTACTCCAGTCAGTCTATTTGATGGGAAGATAGACACTTATTTTTGAAACTGATGATCAGTAGTAAAACCTCCAGCACAGTAGTGCTGTGGATGACTTGAAAGCATTGACCCACTCAGCTGTGTCTGCGTTTGAGATGCCATGCCTATCCCTGACATTTTGGAGGAAGGGGATTGTGTGTGTGTTATGCAGAGAGAGCAGCACAGAACTGAGGGTTACGATTAAGCCCAGAAAATTAAATTAGAATACTCCTTTCACATCCTTGTGCCTTTTTCTAATGTGAGCTATTAGCAGTGTGCCTTCCTGAATTATGGGATACGTTAACCCTTGTGTGTATAATCATTGTGTGAAGTCACAGCTAAAGTGTTTTCTGACAAACTCTAAGTACTGCTTAGAGTTGCACACAATCCAGAGCTTAAGAGGTGAATGGCATAGGAGGGACTTAAACCTTATTTCTGAGTAGGCAGGACAAAGACTTAATTATTGTAGAGGAGTTTTCTTTCCAAGAACAGAATTTCACAAATTCGTAATCAGTCATTAGGTTAAGTGGCTTTTCTTCTTGATAGATGCTTTGTATCATTCAAGAAGAGCTACTTATTTTAAATATTTAAAGATATTCTATAGCTTTAACGTTATTTTACTGCACTATGGAGTGTAGATTAAGGACAAATTAGCTCCTGATGTGCACACAGATAATGCTCTCATCATTCAACTTTGAGAAACAGCAAGGGGAGTTTTGGATGCAGAACCTCATTACTAGACAGGAATTATGTCATTGTTAATTGCTCTTAACCATATTTATGCAATTACTTTTCAGGAACAAAGAAAATTCATCACCCTTAGAATCAAATGAAGCACAAGGTAAAACTAAGCCAAAAAAGAGGAAGATTGCTGAAACCTCTAATGTTATCACAGAAACACTGCCATCTGCAGAATCAGAGCCTGTTGAAATTGAGGTTGAGATTGCTGAAGGGACGATTAAAGTGGAGGATGACAGCATTGAAACCCTTGAAGAAGTAGCTTCTGCAGAGCAATCCATAAAGTACATACAGACAACAGGTACATCAGATGAATCTGCTTTGGCTCTTTTGGCAGATATCACCAGCAAGTATCGTCAGGGAGAGAGAAAATGCCAGATGCAAGAAGAAGGTGATAGTGCAACTGACCCCTCGTGCAAACAGGTAGAAGGTATTGAAATTGTGGAACTTCAGCTGTCACACATGAACAATTTATTCCACTGTGAGAAATGTAACCGTTCATTTAAATTGTTTTACCATTTTAAGGAACACATGAAAACACACTCTACTGAGAATTACAAATGTGACATATGCAATAAAAGATACCTACGAGAGAGTGCTTTGAAACAGCACCTCACCTGTTACCACCTTGATGAAGGTGGTGCCAGCAAGAAGCAAAGACCTGGCAAGAAAATACACGTATGCCAGTACTGTGACAAGCAGTTTGACCACTTTGGGCATTTTAAAGAGCACCTTCGGAAGCACACAGGTAAGAACACTGTTACAGTCTTGTGCTTGTGGCCTTCATTCTAGTATTTTGGGCTTTTGCACATTTTGGGGAAATTGATAATATGCTGAAAAAAATAAATGAGTCTGAGTGCTAGAAATACTTGGCTTCTAGTTATAACTAAAATCGTGGTATGTCTTTATGTTTGTTCATGTTTTTTGTTTTTCATTGTTAGGAAATTATATATAGGGGATTGAGTCAATTAAAACCAAGCACCTAAAACCAGAAAGTAGTAAGGAAGCTTCTCTGTCAAGTCTTTTAAATCTTAGAGATGTTTTTCAAAATACTTCCTTAAGTCATGTCCCCTACTTCAGAAATACCGAATTGAGGAACTACTTTTATTTTCAAAATTTTGTAGTAAATATTTATGTTGAAATATTATTTGAATCACAATTTTCTTTGTGGAATACAGTCTAGAGAGTTTCTTTATTTAACAGAACTTCTGAGCAAATGCCAAATAGACATAAAATACCCTCAAAGAATTACGTCTTATCCCATCATGTTTGGAAAGTCTTACCTTTGCTCTTGTCTCATCTCATCTATTATATGAATTTGCTTAATTAAGCAAAACTACTAAAACTGGCAAAACATTCTTAGTCATTATAGTACACTTTTTACTGTAAAATCTGCCTCTTTGAAATTTGGGTAGCAAAAATCTTTTGAGTACAAAGTGATTTGTGCTCCTCCTTCTTTTTAGTATAGGAGATTACTTCTTCATCTCACTGAAAAGTCAGCTGACTGAATAGACACTGAGAATGACACACAAAACTGAATGTAAAATATATGTGGTCTTGATCTTCCAGATATTTTTGTTTAATATGCTGGTTATGAGTCATAAGTAAAAGTTTAATGGAGGGTAGCAGCTCTATTTCTTTTGCAGCTTGTTATTGTTAAAGCCTTTTAATCGGAATGTCTTAATTTAATTAGACTGTATCTATATATGGGACTGCTGAGTATTGATATATAGCAGTGTCTGATCTATTCTAAATAGCCTCTTAAAAGTTCCTTTTATAAACAAGCTTCTGGAAGTCCTTATCCCCTGTAAAGCAGGGAGTGTTTCTCCATTATAAGCAATTCAAATAGGCGCTAGTTAGCAAAAATCTGTTCAGAAAAAAATTTGTGGCAGATAACCAAAGTAATCCAAACTATGTAATATGTTGGTTACTCTTGCAAAGAATGTATTTTGATTCAAAGCAAGTTAGCAGATCACAAGAGATACAAAATACTTACTAAATATATAGTGATCTACTAAGTATAAACTATGAAATCTAACTACAGTTTAACATTTTCAAAAGTCTTAAGCTTAAAATCAGAACAGATATCTGCATTTAACTGTGGTCTCCTGAGGAGAATGAAAAAGCTCCCTTTTTGTTAGAGGCTTTCTAAATTCTGAGCTCTGTATGCCACTGGTTGAATGCTAAAATAAACTTGAAAGGTCTGTAAGAAAATGTCCTAAAAAATATTTTACCCTGTTGTTCAATCACTGTACCAGCAATTACATTAAAATAGCAGAAGGGCAGTAATAGGATGATAAAATGACTTGGGTTGGAAGGGCCTTACACATCACATAGTTTGACCCTCTGGGACCATGGGCAGGGTACCTTCCACTAGACCAGGCTGCTGCCAGCTACATCCAACTGGGCCCTGAACATTTCTCATGGAGGTGGTAACCACAGCTTCTCTGGGATACTTGTTCCAGTGCATCACCACCCTCTGAGAAATTAATTTCTTCCTAATATCTAACCTAAAGCTACTCTGTTTCAGCTTAAGGCCATTCCCTTTTTGTCATTATCACTACATTCTCTTAAGTTCCCTTTCCAGCCTCCCTGTAGACTGCCTTTAGGCACTGGAAGGTGCTCTTTGACCTCCCTGAAGCCTTTTCTTCTCCAGGCTGAACGACCTCAATGCTTTCAGCATGTCTTCACAGCATAGCTACCAGGAGGATCTGTTCCATGATTTTAAGGCTTGGAGGCGGGACTGACTGGCCTGTAGTTTCCCAGCTCTTCCTTATATCCCTGTTTTAAAAGGGTTATATTTCTGCTTTTCAAGTCATCTTGAACTTCACCAGACTGCCAGACCTCAAATTTTATGGATAAGTTGCTTAACAACTTCCTTCACCCAGCTCTCTCAAAACCAGCAGATGCATCTCATCTGGTTCCCATGGACTTCCTTTTTGTGTTTGAGTTTGTCCAGGAGCTCTTTGGTCATCCATGCATGCTCTGTAGAATCATAGAATTACAGAATAGTTTGCATTGGTAGGAACCTTGAAGATCATCTAGTTCCAAACCCACTAGCTGATTGGGCAAAGTCCATGATTTTTGACCTGCAGGACTGAGGGCAGTTTAGCGTCTTCTGCCTTCCTGTACCACACTCTCCAAACATGTAGCATTTTGTAACCATTGAGGGGAAGGGAATGTTCCCACCATTTAACATCTTTTTGTAGCTTTCAGGTGCATAAGTAACACTTCAGCTACTTGTGAATTTCTTTTAGGAGGCAATTAGGAACTTGTAATTGTTTCTAGAGATTGTTTTTCCACTGCAATGTCCAGTAACTGTTGCATGCCCTGAAAATGCAGGCTTTTAAACAGCTAGGATTGATCCTCATGGTATTCACTGAAATGGCTCAGTTTCTTTTGGAGTTCATTATCCCGTTTGTTTCAGTAGTGATGTTGGTGGCAGTACCTATACAGATTATTACAGACTTTCAGAGGAAACGCACTCTTCCAGGTTTTCTTGTAATTTAGTTTGCTTGAATGTCATTGTGTTTGTGCATGGTGCAACACCCTGTGTTGATTACGACTTGATGACAGCATAGTACCTTGGATAATAAAAAGACTGCTTTCAGCTTCCCCTGCTGTTTTCCTTAGCTGGCTTCTACACTTGATACCATGGCTGAAATGAAGTGGCCAAACTGAGGGGAATTTTTATCTTGCTTGTGTCCATTTGTCCTGCTTGTGTCCCCTCTGTGCTTTCCCTTCAGTGTATTTTGGGGAAAAGTTGGGTGCAGGGGTTTTTTTGTTTGTTTGTTTTGTTTTGTTTTTTTGTTGTTTGTTTGTTTTTTGGGTTTTTTTTGGTTTTTTTTTTGTTTTTTTGTTTTAGTATTGATTTACTGTTATTTCATAATCATTGTGTGCCAGCTTTGTTTTCTGGAGCTCAGTTTCAAGCATAAGTTGTTATTACTGAAAATAAAAGGTTGTATTATTTAAATTCTTACTTCTTTAATATGTCACTTTGTATATTGACTTATGTTGATTCTTTAATTGTAGCTATTATCAGATGAAAAGTGTGAAATAGCTCCTATTTCTTTAAAATATTTTGCTAGATTAGTAATATAATTTCCACAAATACCTTAAAAGCTACTGGTAATTGTTACATTGGTTTTCTTCTGAATGAGAGTTTATGACTCTACATCAGTTTTTTTGCCCTTTTATATTCAAATTTTCATCTCTTTTTCTGCAGAATAATCCCACTGTCCACATCTTTACAATGTATTTATCAGCTTAGATGAGAGAGTGAGAGGAAGGAGACCTGAAAGAAGACTGTGTGGTTTTATTCACTTACAAATCCTTGTATCTGTCTCAACAGGTGAAAAACCCTTTGAATGTCCAAACTGTCATGAACGTTTTGCTCGGAATAGCACGCTGAAATGTCACCTGACAGCGTGTCAGTCTGGAGCTGGTGCTAAAAAGGGAAGAAAGAAACTGTAATGAATGTCAGGTTGGGTAATGGAAATAGGTTAGGTATCTCCCTCCTTCAAGGAGTGTAGGAGGACTGAACAGGAGAGGCAGTGAGAGTGGGCTTACGTCTCTAAGAGCTACTTCAGTAAAATAATGTTGAATCACAGACTATGCTGAGTTTAAAGGGACCCACAAGGATTGAGTTCAGCTTCCAGCCTTGCACAGGACACCTGGAGTCACACCCTGTGCCTGAGAGAATTCTCCAAATGCTTCTTGAGCTCTGTCAGGCTGGTGCTGTGATCACTGTCCTGGGGAGCTGCTCCAGTGCCCAACCACCCTCTGGGTGAAAAATGTGTTTGATATCCAGCCTAAACTTCCCCTGGCACAACTTCAAGCCATTCCCTAGGGTCCTGTCACTGGTCACCACAGAGCAGAGATCAGTGCCTGCCTCTCCTCTTCTAAGGAAGTTGTAGACAGTAGTGAGGACTTTGGATCAACATTCAAAAATATGCAGGATAAATTCTCACATCTAAGTATCTTCATTTAAAATATGGACTTACTGATGTGGAGCCTCATAATACTTACAATCATAGAGATTCTTCTGGGTAGGCTGCATTCTACATTGCTTCCTTTTCAAGATTCTTGATACACTGACCTAGGCCTTTCCCACTTCTAAGCATGCTTCACTAAAAGTGAAGCCTAAAGTCAAGTCCAAAATACAAATTATTATTTAATTTCTTGTTTTGTTATTCTCAAATAACAATAACAATTGTTATTGTTATTTGGTATCTGTTTGATACCAAACCTACTGATTTTGTCAGGAAAGTAATTCAAATTTATTATGGCATTCTATAGTGTTTTTTAAGCAAAATGATTGCTGTAAAATATTGCTAGGGTACTTATATGTAACTGGCATTTGAAAAGCTATTGAGATAAATCTTTTAAAGAGTTGATTCAATTCATAACTCTTATTAAACTTCCTTATCCTCTCACAGATGTAGCGAATATGGATTTGTGTCCCTTCAGCCTGCAGAAACTGTACCTATTCTTGGATAAATTTTTAGTTTTCCTCTTTAGAACTAAATTTGAACATATATTTGTTCATTGAACAGAGAGGAGAAAAAGCTGTGGTTTCTTGATGAGTCCTTTTTGTGCTCTTCAGTTGTATGCCTTGAATACTGAATTATATTGTGTGGCAAGAACAGTAATTATGTGCAACAGTAATTATGTGCCTGGGCATTGCTGATAGTCATTATATTTATGTATGACTAAGTAATTTTGAGTCTTTAATATTAGTATTTTAAAAACTGTATGTGCAGTCTCTTTCTGAAATCAGTCTGGGGGAAAAAATGTGGCAGTAGTATTACAACCCATTTTAGCAGACTTCAGCAATGGAGATGTTTGTCTTGACTACACAGACCTGCTGTTGAATTAATCCTGTCAAATACTCCCTCCATCATCTTTTTGTGCAGTTACTGAAAATGATGAAGAGATTGAACCTCTGGTTTCAAAACTGTTTGCCAACAGTGAAGGGGTATTGAAATGTGTGTTCTTGTTGCTTTCTACAGCCAAACACATTTCCATGGACAAAGACTCCTGAGCCTGTGGCTTTTCTACTCCAAGCCTGACTCTACCCCACTCTTCTGTTTCCTCCACCCTGCATCTCATTTATTTTTTTATTTCATTTAAGTCTCCATGTGTTGTTTTCCAGCTGTTTACCTCTAGTGCCAGCTGAAGGGAAGGAAGGGAGTTCATGTGCTTTGTGAAAACAGTATATCTGCTGTTGAGACAGTACTTTTTGCTGGAAGAGAATGAGAGGGATGGAGGTTTAAAGTTTTGTCTGTTGAAATCACTTAGGTGATTTTTTATTTAATCACAAAATGGGAGAGTTCAACCTAGCCTGTTAAACCTCATGATGTCATGAGCAAGTGAAAGCTGTTAGGAAAAAGTTGTTCATTAGTGCTGCATCTAGAATGTCAGTAAAAGAACAGTCTGTATTACGCTTTCAGTGCACCCTATTAATGCATAAATATTTTTCCACCCAAAACTCGAGTGCCAGACATGTATTGATTGGGGTATGATGCTGTACATGAATATCAGATAAGAAAACTTTCAAATGCTCTACTGACTTGTGAATTTTGTAGGTATCTTATGTATGCACAACTCAAAATAGCTCACCATTCTTTAAAAAAGAATAAAATATCAAGTCTTCCGTTCATTTGAAGCTTTCTTCTCAGCTTTTACCTCTAATATGTATCTTTTTTGAATCCAAGTAACAAGAAGCTATAAAATTTGAAGCCATGATCTCAGATATGCACTGTATTTTGTCACATTTCTGTTGGCACTGTTTAACACACTGTATCTTTTGTTTCAGGTTTGTAACAGTGTGTTTAACAGCTGGGATCAGTTCAAAGACCACTTGGTAATACACACTGGTGACAAGCCCAACCACTGTACCTTATGTGATTTGTGGTTTATGCAAGGCAGTGAGCTGAGAAGGCATCTCAAAGAAATGCACAATATTTCAGAACTATTAGTGACAGAAGAGGTTCTTCCAGTGGAAGCTATGGAAGCTGAACCGGTAACGTCAATGACAATAATAGAACAAGTTGAGCAAGTCCATGTCCTACCAGTAATTCAGGTACAAGTGGATCCTGCACAGGTAACTGTGGAACAGATGCACCAGGATCTCATACAAGACAATCAAGTGAAAGGCGCACAGATGGAGGAACTACAGGAACAGGTGCAGATCAGTTACTTGGAAGTTGAACACATTCAGACTGAACAAGGTGCTGAAGTGCACGTGGAACAGTTACATGTGGAGCACGTAAATCAAATACAGATGGAAGAAGTACAGGCAGAACTTATAGATGGAACAGACCTTGAACAAGTAGAATATCGAAGTGTTGATCAAGGAGAAGCAGAAGAAAAGGATCATAATCAAGCAGATGATGCAGATAAGGAACATCATGAGCTAGCTGAAGACTTAAAAACGCAACAGTTAGTGGACACACAAAATGCAAAAATGGATGACTAGGACACATAATGACACTGCAGTTTTAAAAATGAAATACCAAATTATTTTTGTTAACTTTTACATTGCTTTTTGAACCATCACTGGTCACCTTTCCAATATGCTGTCCATAGGAAATTGGACAAGTGGACCAAAATTAGCTTTCTTCAAGTACAATTAAACTTCTCTCATATGTGAAAAATACTTCCCCATTAATGTAGTGCTATGAAAAAGAAACTACCAGAGACCGGGACAACTTTGAGATTTTTAGCAATGAATAGCTTGTATCATTGTATCATTACACCATTCCTGGGCATATGTAAAAGTAATTTTACCTCTTTTCCTCTTGCAGTAGAAGCAAAGGCTTGTATAAATTTGCAGGATGTCTGTGGCAGGAGAGTCAGTAAAATCTGAGGGGTTCAGCTATGTACCTATGAATTTTTGGATCTTAACTTTCAGGCTGGGCTAGAAACACTGTTGCTGGAAATCTTGGAGCACATAAATCCTGTGCCTTTTCGATACTGGGTGGTTACATTTCCACAAAGTTTCTAGAGTTCTTGAGAACTTAGTTCTCTAAAAGGCATTGTAGGTAATGTTATAGTGCTTTATATTTTGCTTGAAATTGCCAGTTACTGATTTTCTTTTTGCATTAAATTTAGAGGCGGGGGGCTGAGGGAGGGAACAGACTTTACTTGGAGGCAGCAGGACATGCTAAATGGGACATTTAAAAATAGGAAAAGCTTGGTAAAGTCTGTGATAAACATGGTTTGGAAGAAAGCTACAAGCAGGCTCTTCTATAAATAATCATTTTTTTAAATTAATATGTTTAAACATAAAGAGACTTGTCTGTATAGTATCAGGTTCTTGTTTTTTTTTTAAATGAAATTCTGACACTTGACAAAAAGATGTGCTAAACATAAAAGGAAAAGCCATAGGTATGAGTGCTAAACTGTGGATTGAAAACTAGAAGTGTAAATAGTTTAATCAATATTAGAAAATAAAACAATACCAACCATTAAATGTTGCATTATTTGTTTCATGCACTGTATTAGGAACAACTGAATGACTGACAATTAAGGGCCAAGTTCCAATGTTAAGGATCAATCTCATTTTTAATATGATTAATAACTTTTTACTGTAAAGTTAGATTCATTTATAAAATGCTTGTCTATCTATGGTCAAGGATGTTAAGAATGTCCTAATTACTGCTGAAGGTTAGAGGTGCTCAAAACTCCTGAAGAACTTTATTTTCAAAGTCTTAAATGAAGGAAAGAATTTTTGAAAGGATAGTCCCTACTGCTTTTGCTCATACTATAGATCTTAGTTAAAATCAGGCTTTTCTATTCCATCTTCAAATGCCAAACTGTTTCCTGGAATTTGTGCATTTATTTAGTTTCATTCAATATTATTGTGTTTGATCATAGCCTTTGAGAAGCCGTTGCAAAAGAAACATGGATCACAATTAAAATTTCAAACAATTTGATTAATATAACTTGCCTTTTTTTTTTTTTTAATTATGTTTTGTGTTTTCTGAGATGCAAGTAATCTGTGACGAGATTCTGTGCAGGGGCAAGGATGTGGCCCAACGTTGATCATGACAGTAAATTTTAGCTATTATATTTGTACCTGGTTTCTGATAAGCATCTTGTCTTCTGATAATATGGAGGGGACTGTTTGATTACCTGCCAAGCTCTAAACTTTTTAAGTATAAATGCATATTGACAAAGACTGTCTCGGTTGGATTTAAAGGAACAACGTGACTGTGCATCTGACCAACAAAACTATCTTTTGTGTAGTTTTTCAGTCGAGTGTAAATTAAACAATTCTACGGTATTGCCAGCAAGGCCGTGGTTGGTAAGCACTGCTCCTTGGTTCTGCTTGCTCTCCCCTTTCCAGCAGCAGTTCGTTCGGCTGGGATCTGCAGGAGCGGAGCTCTGCGCTGTGCCCAGCCGCGTCTGTCCCGACTGCCAGCGGCGCGGGCGGGAGCGCGGTGTCCCTCCTCGCCGTGCGGACACGGCGGAAGGCTCTGCTCTGGAAACAATTCCGCTGCAGAGCGCCGTTCCCCCGTCCCCTGCAACTTCCTTCCAAATTACTGAAGCCCAGATTCTTGCCAGAGCGTCCTTCGTACCCGTTCCCGCTGGCAGGGAGGGTTGCGAGGCACGGGGAACTCCCAGGGAGGCGGGGAAATGGCGCGGCCGCGGTGGCAGCAAATGGCGGCGCTGGGCGGGCCCGGTGGCCGCGGCGGGGTCCCGGGAGGGCCGGGCCGGCGGGGGCGGCTGCCGCTCCTCACAGGGCGCTCAGCCCAGGAGCGGGGCTGCCGGCCGGCGGGCGAGCCTCCCCGCCAGCCGCCCCCGCAGTGCCGCCGGAGCTGTTTTGGTAGTGTCAGTAATGGCGCGCCGCTGCTGTGTTACCCGGTGTGCTGGTTTGCCTAGAGAAGAAGCACACTGGCGAAGTGGAATCATGGAGAGACACTCCAAACCCGCCTGATCGCCTTGCTGTGTCACCTGCTCCAGGGGGTCTTGGTTTAGCAGGGCTTGGCCTGGAGGATCTCCAGAGGCCCCTCCAGCCGTCGAGAATCCACAGGTTTTCCGAAGCGATAACTGGTGCAGCATCCCTAGTCTTCCTAAGGCCGAAGCTCCTCAAGCCCCTCGGCAATAGAAGGCAGTGTCTAGGTGTGAGACCCCGGGTTCCAGTCGTTAATTAAATGGAGATTGTTTGAGGCATACACTTCTTTTATCTGCGACCCTCTCACACTGGGGGCTAATTGGAGCCTGAGGCAAAAACCCGTTTTGATTCAAAGAAATCTCATCCCACGTTTAACCTACAAAGTACCTGACAGATTCCATGGGAGGAGCAGGGACATGCTGAAGTGTTTTCTGGGTTGGGTTGTTAATTTGGACAGAACAGTCGGTGTTCCGCAGCCTCATAGCAGGAGGGACAGTCCCCGTCAGAGCAAACCTGTCCTTTCAGGACCTGCTCATTTGAGGATGTAATTCATCATCTTAGTTCATCTACAACAAGCAGATTTGTTGACATTATGGATGTACAGGTGTTCCAGCCTGTTTAGGTGGTCCCAGTTCAGAAAAACTAAAAACTGGTGCTTGTTATCAGAAAGAGAAGAGTATTTGCTCATGTGTATATATTTAAAAAAACAAACAAACAAACAAACAAAAAAAACCAAAAAAACCCCCTGAATTTAAGAAATCTAATTCTATCAAAATATATGCTTTTTTCTTCCACTTAGTAATTTCTTTTAAAGTATTTTGTCAGATCTACAGCAGTTCCAGGGCCTGAACAATCTCATGAATGGAAATGAGCAAATAATTATGTTGAGATTATTTATTTTTCTTGAATATGTTAATCATCTACTGTCTTCCATTCATTGATGGTTGTTTCCTAAATAGTGCCTTATCCAGCAAATAGAGGTGAGAACTTTAGGATTTTAGTTAGTCCTAGATAGTCAGTCTGTTTGGGAGTTAGCAAATAAATACCTGAACATGCCAGTTCTCCTCTTCCTACAGTTGCTTGTTTGCGATCTTTTCAGAGTATTGTTTTAAAATTGCAGCGCTGGGGTGGGTGTTCAAAAAAATGTCCAGTTATGGAGTCCTTAGCCTTGCCAGATGGAAAAACAGTGATTTTGTGAACTAACACAGGATCTGCACTATTGCAAATACAAATAATTCATTATAACACATTAAAATGTGTTGATTCTGCTTTGAAGGCAATTAAATTGCACTGGAAGATAATTGGGGTTTTCATACTGCAGCCACATTACAATAAACTGATCTGTTGGCCCTTTGCTGAAAGGATTTTTTCTTTGATTCCTGTTGAACCAAAAGGTTGAACTTCATGGAAGGATTTTCTGGACTTTACCACTGAGAAAATGCTCTGGAGTGGGGCCACTGCAAGTTCCCACTCCACAAGACACTGACCCAAGGAAATGCAGAATTGTGGCAGCTGTAGTGCTTTATCTGGGGGAAGTACATGTGACAGAGATGCTTGTAAGATACACCTTTAGAAGTTGCACTTTGTGGGAAGATTTGGGGTTGTTACTCTTTTTTAGAGGTTGGGTTTCGCTGGGGTGGAAGAACACAGCAAAGGACGGCACATGATTTTGAACCATACTGACAAGTGATGGGATTAGCTCCTCATGTCTGGAACCTCACACAGTTTCTTCATGGCCAGTTTTAGCTCCTCTGTAGTTCCAAAGCACTAGCAATTGGGTGTGTTTGCTTATCTTCCTGATATTTACTGTGAGTTAGGAAATAATCTTCAACCTTTGAAATTCTTGGCTAATACTTAGAAAATTTCCAGCACGGCTCTTCTGTGTGTTTGGAAGAAAATAGTCCTTCATGCGTAGACAGCACTCTCTTAAGACACTAGGCAAATATTATTTAGCTCAGCTACTAACTTACTGTGAAGTACCCAAAAGGCTTTTTAATTTTTTTTCAGTGTTTTTTATGGTTGCACAGACTAGATAATCCTGCAAGCAGGCAGTGATGGAACTGAAAATACTGTCCAGTTTTCTGATTTTCTCTCCTGAATCATGAAACCAAAGACTCTTCTAATTGAAACAAAAACAAGTTACCAAACTCCAAAATAGAAATCAGTGTATCTCTTGCTTGAAATATGAAAGGACTATGCCTAGTGTAGGAAGTACTGGGTAATACTCACTTTCTTATGTTAGTAAAATAAACACAAATTTACTCAGTGCCCTGGAAAATTACTTGGAAATCACTAATATTTTCTAAGAAATTATACATTTCAGGTAGTATCCAAGGATTTTCACTGCTTTCAGCATTAGTGCATCATATGAGCGTCTCTTCTGATTGTGAATTGATATTTTAAGATGCAGAGAGAGTTAGAGATTATACAAGTCTAGATATCTGCAATTAAATCATTGAAAGTATGACTGTGCTAGTGATAAATCTTGTTAGTGCTGCATGGAGAGAGATCTGTTCTGTGCAGGGAGGATTAGTGGGATACATTTTCTGCTGGTTGTCATGGGAATAATAAATCCACTCAGCTGTACAGCAGTGCATTAATCTGTGTGTGCAGTGTAATCCAGTCTCCAAATTAGGTCATCAGTTCTGAGCAGACTGATAACAGCTGGGTTAAATGCTTTCCATTCACTTCACTGGAAATAGTGCCCAGAGTCCAGCCAACACACCTCTGATCTTCTCAGAAAGACATAGTGTTATAGCATGGAGCAATTTCATGTTGTAGCAGAAATGTATGACTTGCCTCAGTGTCCAAAGCCCCATGTTTTTCAGGTGTTTATAATGAATAATTGTTCTCACCCTGAATTATTATGTCATTTATGTTTTAGAGATTGTATCAGAAGTATAAGGACTCTTTAGTCCCTCATTAAGATAGTCTGCTTGTTACACTGTGCAGCAATGCTTGCTGATAGTATCATGAATTTTAAAGCTCTAATAGCAAAATAAGATTGTGTTTAATCTGGAAGGAACTTAGACAACATTCTACCTGCAAGGCAATGGAGTAGTAAAGTGTGCTTGAAAACTCATCTGTCTGTGAACAATTCAGGACCACTACTACTGATGTGACCTGATCCCTTTTTTATTATTTTACAATTACTATATTATTACTTCCACTGCATTAGCTTGCTGAAATGTACTTATGAACATCAGTGTTTGAGAAAGTTCTCACAAAAGCAAGGTGGGCAGCTTAGTTCATATGTGCAAGGTGGCCTCTTTGAGAGGCTGTGTTTGTGTAAAATGATAGGCCTATCCTCTACAGCAGGTCTGTAGACAGGGCAGTTTTTTGACAGCTGAAAAAATCCATTTTTCTTTGTCCCACAGGGGTTGATTGTACTACCAGTTTTCTTCTCTACCCTGCCAGGCCACCATGAATTGAGCTAATTGTGGGCTGAGAGGAGCAGCATGGAACTGGGCTCACAATTACAGAAGCAGAATGTAACTGCGCTTCTCATTTTCAGTTTCATTTTTACACACAACAGAGTGGTTTAAGTTTGGGGCTTTCTGATTGGTTATGGGTTCCACAGAATCGTCATTTAGGAGCTTAGTTTTCTAGAAGTCAGGTTGAAGAGTCTGTTTCAGCTCGTGCCCAAGTCCAAAAATTATAATGTAGGCCTGAGCCTGGAGCTCTGCTGTTAAATAAAACTCCACTTCTCTGCCTAAGCATGGCATAATTGCGTCGAAGGAGAACTGATCACTGAGTAGTCAGTATTTCATTCCTAGTGGGACATTTCCATTAGCATTTAATGGGGAAGTCTTGCTTTACTTGCTCTCAGCAGTGTGCAGGGTTATTTAAGATACCAAAAAGCACAGCACAAGGAGCACAGGGATTTCAGTGTCGCAGGGATGTCCAGCATTGCACAGCTGGAGCACCACACTGAGCACAGACATTCAGACCTCTGTGGATGTGCATGTTGTTTCCCTCTGCTTGGAAGGGAGCACATTCAGCCTGGGCTTCCTTTACCTGTGCTCCTGCAGTGAGGGCAGAGGGCAGCTCCACTCTCATCATTAAAGTCTTGTGTCTGTAACAGGAACTGCATTTCTGCAGGTGTCACCTAGAGACTGGGGCTGCACCTGGACAGCTGTCCTGGTGGGGACATCCATGACATGTTGAAAAATGCTCAGGTTCTGCAAGGATCAGATTTTGAAAAAAACATCAAAAGAAAGTAGTTCAGAAGTAATACTAGTGCAAAGTGTCAGCTCTTTTGCAGAATATGCATAGCTAATTTTTTAGCTTAATTTGAAGTGTAATCAGCTCCATTTGAAGATTTCTCTTGACACTAGTTTATTTATAATTAAGATTGACAACTTTTTGCAGAAGTAATGATTTTCAGAAGTATTTTATTTCAATGTCTTTGTTGTTCTTCTTTGGGGCTTTGGGTTTTGGCTTTTTTTCTTTTTTTAATCTCTCCTGCTTTTCTGTCCCAACCCCCTTTTGGCTGCTTGATACCACCTGAAACAGCTGATAACCTAGCTAAGTAGAAAAAAAAAAATAAAATGCAAGTTTCCCTTAATAACCAAAGAGCAGGAGCATCATTACAAGCTGGGTTTGGCCTTTTTCCAGATGTGGATTCTATCATCCTCATTGCTGGTCTTTGGTGACCCAGGATCTGATGACCGTTTGAGAACATGTTTGGTAGAAAAAGAAAAGACTGAAGTTAAGAAATTCCTGTAGCCCTACACACGACATGAAACTATAGACATTAACCAAAGTATATTGAATATTTATGGGACTATATATATCGGAGTTGCTGAAACTTCTGTACTTAACAGAAGAAACACATTGAAACTGAGGACTAATTATTGCTAAATATCACACTACTTTATTCAAGTGTCTTTCATAGAGCTGTGCCCATAAGCCAGATGTTGAGAAATTATTTCTTAACTTTCCTTCACATGAGGATGTGATAGTTGCATACATGTAAATTGCTACATGGATCTGCATCACAGCCATTGAATTGCCCTCTCTACAGCTTTCTAGAAATTTGCTTTAATGGTTTTCAATGCTTATAGAATAGTTGAGCAGTGGCAGTACATTGAAAGACTACATCTGAATTCCTTCTTCTGAGTTCAGAACAGGGATTCAGATACATCACTAAAGTCTATGTAAGTGCTCCAGTCACAAGACTATTTTTCAAAAGTTCTTTTGACCTGGATTCAGTTGGTTTTGTTTGTTTTGTTTAAAAGCAAACAGAACTTGTTTTGTCCAGATGTACCTTCTTCAGCTGGTAGACACTGAAATGACAATTGGTTGCAATACAGTTCCCCAGAAATTTTATCCTTCAGAAGTGCTTTGTGAAGTTTGGCAGCTTTAGCACTGGGGGTTCACTTTTTTTTGGTTTTGGTCTCCACTAACCCTCCCAACAGTAAATATAGCATGATGTGTGGAAGGGATTTCATGGTTGTGAACAGGAGAGGTCTGCCAAGGCCTCTGGAGTTTTAAAGATTATTTGCACTCATTTGTACAATTTGTACAGTCAAGGTTTATGTGTGCTACTATAATTTTCATCTGTGTAAGACATTCTTCCAATAGAAGGATTGACAAATGCATTTCAGTATGGAAGCAATAGGGACATGCTCAAAAGATGTGTGTTCTGTCTGATTATTGGAGTACATACACTAGGTCATCTAGTGAAACCTCTGAAGAAGGATGTAAAAAATGCCTCTATTAACAGTATTTTTTGTGTGTTCCTTCAACCACTAAGTCAGAAATTATAATTAAAAGAAAGTCTGAATTACTTGGAAATAATAATTACATGAAAACTCAGTTAGAATTGGAATTCCCATGTGGGCTGAAGGAAGGGAATTCAGCTTGATCAAGCTATATGAGAAGTCCCTGTATAAATTTATTTTCATCTGATTCAGTAGTATTGCAGAACTTCTTAAAACTCAGAACTCTGTCTTACATTTAGTGGTGTAATAAGAACTTCCAGAATTTGTAAATGTATTGTTAAGACTCCTTTACATGATGAGAAGTTCCATTGTTGGTACTCAAATAGAAAATGTGAACAGATCCCCTCTTGATCGGAAATGAGACTCCATTGTTTTTATTACATCCATCAGGCTAGCTGCTGTGGTCTAACAATCTTTAAGGTTCAATTTCATCTTTGTGGTCATTTGTGTATGATTGTCTTGGGCATACAGTAAAAAATCACAAAAGCTGGTGGCTTAACCCCTTTTACTTCTGTACAGTGAACTGTACATACAAGCAGTAAATTTTGTGCATTTTTTTGTTACAAAGGAAAAATATGTGAAACATCTTAATGGACTATTAGGAGTATTATTATCAGGAGTAAAAAGCAGGAACTGTGACACTGTCTAGAGTGAACAATAAGTCTGTATGAACATCTAATTTACTTTTCATGAACAAGAAGAAAGCACAGTGGTTGTCTTTGGTTTGGCAATTCACACAAATGGTGTGTATGTTCAGTTCTGTACCATGTATATGAAAAGTTGTGGAATTCTATATCCACAAGATATAGAGAGTGCAAGGGGTGCAGGATACAGGCTTGATGCTGGTTCTGAATTGGGAGTAGGCTTTCAAATTAATGGGTTTCTGGGTTTTATGTTGAATAAACGACTCTACAGTGTTAAATAATAGAATGGTAAATAACTGTATCTTTGTCTTTAGAATGGTTAGGGGTGCCCCTGCGTTTAAAAATAAGGGACACTGAGAGACATGAAAAAGATATTAAGTTCTTTGGCCCAGTTAACCAAATTATGTCAGCCCTGTTCTTTAGAGGTTATGAGAATAATCTCTTTTCAGTCCTGTTGAGCTCTGCATGGTGTCATCAGATTAAATGGTATGATTAACTGGGTTAAGTACTAATTATATGAAGAGGATGCAAGAGGTATGAATTTTCTTTCTTTTTCTCTCTCAGCTGTAGAACTGAGAAATGATGCTGCTGTGAAGATACAGAAGAGTAAATATTGTCAATGAAGGTTCAGTCAGAGACCTTTGGAGGAACCAGAAAAATCAGTTAATCTTTAAGCTGCAGGCTTAAGATCTTGGTGTCAGCAAAGCAGTTCTAGCTCTGGTATATACATTTCCAGGTAATATTATACCAAGACAGTGTTGTGTCTACTCTGAGGTGCTTGCTGGAGAATTTCTTCAAATACACCTCCTCAAAGCTGCTCATGAGTCTGCTCCCTGAGAGCTTTCAGACTCTTAATGGAACTTATTTACTAGACTGAGGATATAGGAGATCAAACAAATCCATTTTACCTGAAAATACGATAATTACAACATTCAACTCTTTGCATGTCTTCGTTTCCTGACCTATTTCCTGCTATCACACTGTGATGCTAATATGATATAATGTCATTTTTGAAATGCTGTGAAGAGTGAAATGATTTTGGTCTTGATGCTGCAGTTCCTCGTGATGCATTTTTTAATAATTACGAAGATGGAAGGGTGCCCTTTCTCCAGAAAAAGTGTTGCCATCTTGCCTTTGAGCTTGGGGTGATGCACCCAGCTCATGAGAACTTGGCCTTTTACTGCCAGAGGCTTTGACTGTCATCCTGACAGCAGGTGACATCCTGCCAAGGATGTTATCCTGCCCAGCACCTGACAAGTCAGGGGTTGTCTGGAGAGAATAGGACCTTCTGGATTGCCAGCTGTGCTTTTTGCAGATCTCAGAGCAACATAAGCATTTCTTGTTTTATCTTGCTGGCCTCCATGTGTTAGCCTGCTGGGTTTGGAAAAACTGAACAGACTGTTCCTCTCTCTCTCGTCCCCATTTTTCTCTATTCACAAAAGCTGTCCTGGAAACCTTAACAGGTTTTATAACTTTATGTTTTTAAATGCACAATTATATGAACCACTAGTGACATTGTGCCTTTAGTAGTATACAAAAGCATCACTATGGTTTTAAAGCCATTTTTTTCCCTCAGTATGTTTGCCTGCTGGCAAATAATTTCACATATGTACCACTTAAACAGCAGTTTCATTCTTGAGTGTCTCAACAAAACTCCCACTCAATAAATTTTATAGCTTAATTACAGTGATAAATGGAAAAAAAAAGTTGTGCTCTAGCAAATTACACCATTAAAGTAGTATAGACTTAAAATATTTTGACTCTATTCATTTTCTTTCTCTTTTCTTTCTCTTTTCTCTTAGACACTAGTTATGTACTAATTCAACTTGTTTTCCTATTGCCTTCCCCTCCCCCCCCCCACCCCCCCCACTTTACAAAGTAAAATGAAATTAGAGTTTTTTCCTTTTCATTGAGTTCTGCTGCACTCAGGCAGCTGCTTTTCCTTGAGCTGATAGAAGGCTGATGGAAAGGGGTGTAGCATTAAGCAAATCCAGGAGAGATTAGTCAGTGAATGAAACGCTAGCAGCATTACATTGTTGTCTATTTAAAAAGAGATTGCTATTTCAGAACTTCAGTCTAATAGGAATCGCTTATAAAGTTGTCTTCATACCTCTAGTCACAGATACATTTCTGAATTCTAATCTGAAATTCTCCTGCAGATTTCTTTAAGGTAAAGATTGAGAGAAGGTGGGAAACTGGAGTCTCTTAGTTATAGACTTTTAAATGAATTTAGGATTTTGGATTGTGTTATGTGTGTGGTGGTTGTCCACAGAACTGTGTCATGGGAGTGGATGCTTACAGGGAAGATTATAGCTGAAAGATGTTCTAAAATTTGTTTTTGCTGTACTTCTGAATATATTTGCTTTCTGCTTCCTTAGTGAATCTATGCTCCCTGAAATCATGGAATGTAATTAGAATCTGTGTAATACCATAGAGTTATATGTAATGATAGAGTTACATGTAAAACCATGGACTTATTCTTAATTTCTATTTTTGCAGATTTGTCAAAATCTCTTCCCTAAACTTGAACATTTAATGTTGCCATTTTAACAAAGTATTAACTGTTACAATATGTTTTACTCAGATTTGTTTTGTTCTTTCTAAGGAAACATAGTTCACATAACCCTTCATTTTCACAGTAATAATAATAGTGAGAACTGCAGTAATAATAATAATAATAATAATCTGAGTCCCAGGACAGATACTCAACAAATGTCTATAATATTAGCTAATGAAATTAAATGCTAGCAAAATATATTAACATTAATATTCATTCAATTTAGGATAGTTTTTGCTGTTTAAATGTGATATGAAAAGTAGCATGTGTTTTAGGGATTTGAGATGTAGCAGCTTTCTCATACAACTCTTTCAGTGGATCAGTAGCAAGGTCTGTATTCCTTGGAGCTCTGCAAGTGTTCCTCTTCTGCAGTTTCCCAGGGTATTGGTCTGCGCCTGCCGTCAAATACTGTGTGCTCTGCTGATCCTCTCAGCAGGAGAGGTCAGTTGCCTAAATGTGCTGGCAGGTTCCTCAGCACACACTGCTGCACTTGGAAATTCAATTTGAGAGAGCATTATGAATTTTTCAGTGTTCTAAATCCAGGTCAGTTAAAAAGGAAAAAGAAAAAAAAAAAAAAAAGCCAGCAAAAAAAAGGCTTGTAAAGGAAACCTAGGATGCACGTGAAGCATAAAGCTGCAATACTGAAGTCGAAGTTGCAAAAGAAGACTAAAATCTAGGGTTGTGCTTTATCTTGATTGGGTTAATATTCCTCACTTAGGATATGCACCAGACTGATAAAGCTGATAGAACATTTCAATCTGCAGTAGGCTGTCTTGAGTGTTTCTTGCTGCCTTTGTACTGTTTCTCTAGATCCAAGTTTCAAAAATACCTATTCTGTTCTCAGTCCAGTGGAAGAGGAATCTTAGTGAAAGATGTCTTTGATATACAGAGATTAATGACTTGTGACCTGTAGGATGTCAAATAAGATCAGATTTCTTCCTGCTAAGCTCCTTGCTTCATCTTGAAGATCTGCTATGCATTAGCCAGTTTCCAGAGCTTCAGCAGTAATCAAAGCTTTAGCAACGCTGGGGAGCTTGTGCTTATTCTCCTGCTCTGTAGCTCTGTGCTTGCAAAGCTTGAGGAGGTTATATGGATGGCAAACCTGGAAGCAGTGCACTGCAAGGTTTTTCAGCATGTGGTACCCAAATAACGTTCCAGAGGTGGAAGCTGGTGAGAAGGGCATGTGGTCTGCATGGGAAGGGGACCCCTTCAGTTTGAGAAGGTGGCACACTCTTACATTACTAGAGAAATATGTCTGGGACTGTTTTCTGTGTTGTTTTCAGGTGTATTCTAGATATTTCCAGTCTAATGGTCAGTGAGATGAGAAATGCAGATATTTACCTGTCTTTCTATCTAGATTTTTTTTCTCTAAAAGCTCAATAAGTTCTCAAAGCTGCAGCCACTTCAGGATATTTAAAGTGGACAGAGACAGAGAAGTTGCAACAACACTTTCAGGGGATAGTTCTTCAGCATTTTTAAAACTAAGGAGACAGTCTTTATGATGCTGCTTTCCTGACACTTTATGTGGGTATTATATTTCTACATCTGTGTCTTCTATTAGTGAGAAATGTAATTACTGTAATGCAGTGTTTTCTTAATACTGATTCAGGGTAAATCTCAAGTGTCTTAGAGATTGTCCTGAAAAACTGGAAACTCCAGTCAGTATAAAGTATATTTCAAAGTGCAGTGCAGGATTTATGTATTTTCAAGTAGGTCCTTGGAGAATAATACCATCTGCTTATCTTCTGCCCAGTTACATTGAAAAATGACCTTAACATGCTTAGCCCTTTATTACTCAGTACTTTTGAGTAGTGCATATAAAGTGATGCAACTAAATTTGATTACCTTGTTAGAGGTAACCCAAGTTGTTTCTGCTTTTAAGGCCCAACTACTAAGTAAGTGGGGATAGTGAAAGAAAACTGTGATAGGCAATATGAACCAGAAAACGTTCTGTTGCCCTTGTATGGGAGCACATTTAAAATTTCTCTTCCTTGAAAATGACAGGGTAATTTTATTGTAGGCTGTCTTCTTAGCAATGCATATCTGCCTAAATATGCAATATTTCTTGATGGAAGTGAAGACGGATTTCTTTAGTGATTTCAGCCTGTTTTGCTTGTTTCTTACTTCTTGGACTATAGCTTGCTTTATCTAGAATTTTTTTTTTATTTTCACCAAAAAAAGGAGTCAAACTAATGTTTAGAGAAATAACCAAGTTAGATGTAATTTTTTTCTGTTAGTTAAAGGGCTAATAAAGACTTTGTTGCATCTCTGTTGACTCAGAAATACATACTTACTGGAAATTGATTTTATCTTGGAAGAGCAATTCTGAGGGAAATTGATGTAATTTGCATGAACCTCAAAGAAAGAAATAAAATAGCCTGGCCAGACTAAAGTTTTGAAATGGTAAATTTAATTTCAAATAGTCAGACTTCAAATGAATCCCTCCCATGTATTTCAAAGACCTGGGAAATCAATGGGTTTTACTAATAAATTTTTTGTCTGTTTTTAGTGCTATTTTCTGCACAATTAATTTCTGTACAAAAGACTAATTCATTTAAATTCTCTTTCTACATGTTTTATCAGCAGTGCTATGAAAGGATGAAAGGAGTTGTCTCCCTGCACCACTCCCCCCCCTACAATTTTAGTTTCTAGTTTGCAAGTCTTTATGTACTTGCTTAGTTTGGTTTCTGTTATGTTGATTTTCTTTTCCATATACTCTGTACATTGCAGACAGTAGATTTCATGTGAGACTCCACCAGCTGGGCTGCACCCAACCTGTGCTGGCAGGGTTATGTAAGCCCTGACTGCCGAGGGCTCTGTGCAGCCTTCCCTCATCTCGCCAAGAGCTTATTCCAGCCTGTTGGCAGGTAACCCGCGGGGAGGTGGGAAGGTGAGTCTGTGCTGCACCCTGACACCGTGTCACATGAAGTGCCTGCCAGTGGCCCTGCCGGACTCCCCAAGCTGCTGCTGCCACACAGGAGTGGGCAACCCGAGCAGGTGAGTGTGTGCTTGTGCCAGCCCAGCCTGGCAGTCCCGCTGGGTCGCTCTCTGTGGGTTAGGCCATGGCAATCCTGGACGCAGGAGTGTTAGCCTGTTGAAGATCATGGACAGATCTTTTAGGGGTGGACCACAAAACAGGGCACACCAGTGTGTTTTTTCTCTATTTCTTATCTCTGGTCTTGGCAAGAAAGAAGTTGGACTAAATAAACATTGCTTAGATCTATAGTTTTGTGCTACAGTGACCTGTGCTGAATAGTGGTCAATCAGCAGATCTGGCAATGGGCTGGTCGGGTTCCAAGTAATTGGGCTTATCTTTAGGGTCCATCCCAGAATGACTGTGGGGTCAGTGCAAAAGATGAAAGTTTCAGTCTTTCCACTGGCATTAGGGGACACTTGAGTAAGTATCCACCTGTATTCTGCTTCAGTGTAAAGGGCTCAGGCTTATTAAACTTCTGAATGGGTTGCAGAGTTCCCTGTCTTTTGCTCTAAGTTACAATTGTAGAATTAAATTGCAGGTAAGAGTTAGTGTGTTACAGTGTAGAGGGTTATTTTTTGGCTTTTTTTTTTTTATACCAGAGTTTCTTGAGTTGTTCTTTTTTTTTTTTTTCCTTTTTGTTTGATAACAGCATGTAGAGCAGGCATTTCATTGTGAGGAAGGAGTGAGTACAGTACAACTGTTTGTTATCTCTTCCTCCTTCCCTTCTTGGTGCTGTGGCCTGTAAGTGAGGTTTTGCACAGAAGCCTTGATAGTGTTTATGTTCCATTTTAGCCAGAGTTGCTGCATATGTTAATGTTCCCTGTGTTGGAAAACAATGCCATGTCTTAGGCTAAGAACAATAGCATCATTTATATTGGTAAAGACCCTCAAGATGATCGAGTCAAATGTGTCACGGTTTGACAGTGCAGTGAAGTGCTCCCCATGCCCCTGCTCCAGCTTGGATTTACCCATCGTCTGCAGTACCTTAGGGCTGTACCTACTTCAAGTGGAGCCATATCTGTGAGCCACAGTCTCCTCAGGCTATACCTGCTGCAGCGTAGATTTACTCAGTAGATTTACTCCTGCCACACCTGCTCCAGTGTGGCCTGCATGGGCCATAATCCCTCCAGAGGTGTACCTGCTGTGGCACAGTCACAACCACGGCCAGATGCTTTGAGGGGTACCTGCTCCCACGGTCTACAGGTCACAGTGCCTTCAGCTCGAGTTCACACTGCAGCTCCAGCCTGTCCATTGCAGCAGCACAGAACTGGCAGTGATGCCCTGCCCACCTGCCAGCCCAGGCTCATCGCTGTGGCTGTTATCAAAACATTTCCAGGCACAGCAGGAAGGTGGTAAGAATGATGTTCTTCATGTCTGGTTTTCATAAACAATAACTGGCAAACTGAATGCTGTGCCAGCTAACAGTAGTAATTCTGGGATTTATGGAAGTGGGTGGTATGTGGGCCTGGACAGAGAGAGAAAGTAGTTTCTGGAGGTTCTCCATGGTCAGTGCCCTGTTAGTATTTTCTCCTACATGAGCTGGGAACATAGAGATCTTTGTTCATCCTGTAACCATGCTGTATTTTGTATTTTGAATAGTTGGGTTTGGAGGGGGTTTTTAAACAATTCATGTGAAGTTCTGGGGTGTATTTTATATAGTCATTCTGTTTTCTGGCATTCACAGAAATAAGACTGAGAGTGCTTCTCGTGTAAATCAGAAATGTGCTAGGAACAAACCTTGAACAAATGTTGACTTCCTTTGGCCACGGCAGCCATGCACTCAATATTACTTGAGCATAAGCACAGAAGTTGAGTTGTTACTTTACCTGTGGTGTCTGTCTGCAGAGCAGAGCTTTTGTGTCACCTGTGGTCTGTGCTACAGGTCTTGCAGGACTGTTCTGCTGGCCTCTTTTCTAAAAGATAGATCTTCTATACACAGGAGTATAGTAGGTTGTTGGTGTTTTCTTGCAACTGAACATTCAAAGCTATGATAAAAAAAAAACGGGGTCAATATTTTTCTAGCAGATGAGTTAAAAAAAAAATCCCTGCTACTGTAAATTCAGTTTTGATCCAGAGCTGGCACATGGTGCATATAATCTACTAAGCAGGAGAGATGCTGTTCTTCAAGAGAATTAAAAAAAAAAACTAATCCCCTACCCTAGGGAAATACCTTAAAAATACCCATCTCCTCAGACTAGACGGCAGAGGGGCTGAAAAGGGAACTCTAGTGAATGAGTTACAATATCCAGTGACAACCTCATTAAAATCACCTGGTACTCTGACATTTGAGTGGTAGGATTCCCTCCAGTGTAACTTCCTTCACATTTACTCTAATAGGAACTACATCAGTTTAAGCATTCAAAGCTGAGTGGATTTTTGCCTCTCTGAAAGACAGATTTAATGAAAGAGACCAATTTGCAAAACACAGTGCTATCAAAGAGCACTGGTCTAGCTGCTTCTGTGCTTTCATGTGCTCCATTCAAAGATTCTTAAAACCCGGTCACTTTTTATCTATCTGTCAAGATGGGATTTTAGGAACCAAATTCTCTATACCTAGTGATCTCCTTCTTGGTTTAATTCTTTTTCCAGTCATTCTGAACTTTCTTAAGAGTTGTGATGCAGGGTTTAAACTGAGCCTGTAGCTGAAGCCTGATGGCACTTAGCACTTCTTAGAATAGAAGAAGAATGTCAGTTTAGAAAACAAGGTTAAACAACAACAGTGTTAGATCTTAAAGGATTGATACATTCATTCACTGTCTTGTGATGCTTTTTGTAGTGGTTTGCTTTTGGTTTTGTTTTTTGGGGTATTCTTTGGGGTTTTTTTGTTTTGTTTTGTTTTGGGGGGGTTTTTTTTGTGGTTTTTTGTTTTGTTTTGTTTTGGTTTTTTTTCCTTGCTTATTTTGCTTTTTAAAGTGATTAATTGGTCTGACAAATTTTTGTGAAGCTCTTCTGGTCACCAGTCAGCCAGACTGGAGGAAAAAAAAAAATCATTGGTCCTTCATTGTGTTTGGATCACTCCTGATTTCCTTGTTTTTCCCTTCTCTCTTAGAATTATTTTCTTTTACAGTTAGTGCCCTTTGGTATGATATCAGGATAGATTTTGCTGGTTTGATTACAGGAAGGAATGTAGGCCATAAATAGATGGTATATATACTGCTAACACCAGGAATACTGAAATAGCTCATCTCAAAAGACAAGGGAAACCTAGCCAGCTGGCCAAGTGCCAGGAGGTTGCAGGGTTGACAGTTGCATGTCAAGTCTGAAAGGGAGATTAATGGTAGGCTGTACTCTAAAAAATAGCATGTTGAGCCCCAGGAAAAATTCTGCAGGAGCAAATTCAGGAAGAGCCATGTTCTGATGCCTCAATGCAGTTTTGCTTTTCTCTTGACTCCTCTGTCCCCACAAGGTTGTGGCATTCCCATATCATTTGTCTCTGTGATCCACATGGACTGGGCTAGCTGCCTTCTGTGCCTTGATGGAACATATTCAGGAGGGTCTTGTCTACACAAACCTGTTTGAAGGAAACCCTTCAATTTATATAATTTATAATATATATATTATAAATATAACCTATATAAGTTATACAGAAAATTATATATTTTCTGTATAACCAGTTAACTGAAAAGGCACTGATAATTTTTGCAGAAGATGGTGGTAGTTGTGTGTTTCTTCTTTTGCAGGAGCAGAATTGTCCATACCTGCCTCTCTGGAGGTTATAGCCATAAGTCATAGCTATTCTTTGGTGGTGAGGATGTCACTGCCCAGCAAAAGACACGTGGTTAAATAATATTTTACAGTTTGTACATGGCATGCCTGACACTTCTCATGGAGGTTTCCAGACTTTTCCTTTGGACAGCCTGTGCTGCTGTTCTCAAGATCAAAGGGCAGAGTGGGGCCAGAATTCTAACTCTGAATTGCTGTGGCACTTTACAGCAGACAAGTGCCTTCCAAAAGCCCTGCTCTGCTAGAGTGTCATCCACCATTAAAGCTATGAAATGCAGTTGAGTTTCATATAAAGAGTTTTTTATTACCTAGAATACTTTTACAATTGTGATGTGAAACATGTTAAAGCAGAAAACCTGTGAGTCAGATACTCCTGAAAGAAATTGTCCTTTTCTTAAATGGAGGAAAACAGAGTGTAAGGTGTGGGGTTTGGGATTTTCAGTTTGCATGGGGAGGGGGTATCCTTCCACACAGATGTTTTCTTCTGAGGTATAAAATAATAAAATTAGGAGGAATATTTAGAGCCAAGAAGGAGTGGCCTGCTGGGAGAACACTGATGTGTTTTCTCGTTTTTCACCTGGTCTCTTCCCTAATAACTATATCCAGTATTTGGCCATTAGCTGTATGTACACATATAGTGTTTGCAGGGGTTTTACTCTATTTACTCCAGAGAATAATACAATGATGTATTTATTATTTTTAGTTTCTGTCAACAATGAAAAGGGCTCTTTTCTTCAAACATGAATAAGCCAAAAAGAGTTAACAAAGGTATTATGAACATAGAAAATTCTCCCTCTGTTCCAGTTACAAACTGCATCAGCCATTAAGTTTGCAGCACACACAGTAAGAAATGTCCCTGATTCAGAGAAGTGACAGAGCCACAGACTCTGAGGGAAAGCCAGACTTTCTGCCTCACCCTGGGACAAGTTTGTCTGCCCACAATGTGGCTGCAGCACAGAGAGGTAAAGTGACTTTCAAGATTTCTTCAATGGGTCTCAAGGCAGGGAGCAGTGTCCCAAAACATGGGTCAGTCACCTTGGCCTCTTTGAAGGAGCAGATGAGTGCTTCTGTGCCACTCCAATTCCCATTTAATGAAACCATCACCAGCTGTCTTTTCTTTGGGTTTAGGTCATGCGTCTGACCTCTCTTCCTCTTGCTCACGAAGGAGATTGTGGGGTTTAGAGGGCAGCTCCACCTGGCAAATGTCACATGTCTTCTGCTAGTGTGGCACCTTAGGTGACTGTCGACCTAAGCTTCAGGCAGTGAGTTACTGGTCTGATTCACTCCCCCTCAATCTGGTGCATCTGTCCCGGCAGTCGGGTGTCTCCCGTGTCCATCAGTCGTATGTGCTGCAGGCTGGGAGCAGGGGAGGTGAGTGCTGCCACTGCCTGCACTGTCTCAGCGCTCGTGCCCAGCTCACCACCCTCAGGCGTGCAGCTGCATGATCAGCACTTGCTGATCAACTCCTGGCTTTCAAGGTTAAAAGAGAAAGGTAAAGAAGAAAAAAAAATAGTGTGCTGCTTTAAAGGTAAGTGGTTGCTTGTGTATTTAGGGTAAGTATTTCTATGTCTGCTGCCAGTTAAACTGGTGAAATGGTATGGGTCATGCTGTCATTCAGTGAAGCGTATGGCTGTTATGTAAAGGTTTTAATTACTTTCTTCATCTGTCTGCTCAGGGACACCACGCGTCTGCCAAAATTTTGAGAAGGCTCAAGGCGTTAAAGAAAGCTCATCTAAATAAAGGAGGGTTAACGTGACATTGCAGTTACTTAATCCTGTATTGTCCTGCCATGTGACTGCAGGGATACTGAGGCGCAGCATTTCTTTTGCCTAGTGCACAGTTTATGCTTTTCCTGTCATCTTGCAGAATCAGTTGCTTTGTTGAACACATCATGGGAAAGAAACAGAGAGGCAGCGTACTTTTCACAGCAAGGCTTCCACACACAGTGACATTTCCAAGGTACAGTGACAAGCTCACAGGCTGAAGAATGAATCAAAGGCAATCCCTACAGTCAGCTTTTGGACATTCACCAGAATCAAGGAGAACTACGCTCTTAAGGTCAGCTATTCAAAATTAGCTAGAAGTATCTGGATTTATTCAGAGCAGTTAATCAGCTTTCTGTTTGACCTTTATCTATCAAGTTAGTTCTCAAAAGCTCAAACTAAAATCTGAATATTTGTGTCAAATATTTTGCATGTGTCAAATGTACTGCACAGAGAGTGAGCACCTTGCCACTTACTTGCACAAAGTTTGCAGTTTTAATTGCAAAGCCTCTTTTACCTTGCAGCTAAAGATCCTGACACACTAAGTCTATTAGTGAGGAATTGATGTTTTATCTCTGAACAGGATGTGCAATATGTAGATGTGCCAGATTTGTTTTTGAATGAATTTTCAAACTAGTCTTTGGACTTTCTTTAAACTGCTATTTTTTTTTTCTTTTGCTGCATTTGTCACAGTGTCCATAATGTGCAGGATTCCATATTCATACAGAATTACTTAATTTAAACTTATCAGGGTATCTTGTTAAACGGGGAAGTGATTACCCTATAGACTATGACAACAGGATATGTGGATGAAGGAAATCTTGGAAAATACCACTGTTCCAGGTGGCATCATGAGGACAGCGGAGAAGATGATGGGCGCCCAGAGTGCCATGAAGGAGATGAAAAGGGCAACCAGCACAGGCTGACCCCATTTGAGAAACTAATGCAGGATATGTCTCATAATGAAAAAGTGGTGAAAGAATTAACACTGGGAAAGAGAATTGCCTTCTATCGAGTCAGAGGAGAAATAGGAAGTGGGAATTTCTCACAAGTGAAGCTTGGAATTCATTCCCTAACCAAAGGTAAGCACTACTACATGCTGAGTGACCTATGGCCTCCTATGGGAAGAAAGATGCTGTATGAACCTTAAATACACATAGAGAGAGAGGGAGGGTGTGTGTGTCTGTGTGTGTTATTTTAATGCTTTTGAGTTAATCTGTAGATAGGGTCACACACATAGATACTTAGGGTTCGATTAGGCTTTAAAGAAACTAGAAACAATTTCTCTACCTGGCAGCTATTACAGGTGGAGTTCATCACTGCACTTGGTGAAGTTAACACATCCTGTGGCTTAGACACTCCACACTTTGAAGTGTGGTATTGGGCCTCCCCTCCTATAACCTGCCCTGTCCATCCATTCTCTTCTTTGCCCCCGCTCCTGGCCTACAGGGATACAGGTGATGAATGCCCAGGATAGCAGGTTAGGCATGCTCCTGCCTGCAGCCAGACGTAGCAAGTCTTCCTTTGTTTCATCAGAAATTTCACTAGTATAGCCAAAAAAATTTTTTTTGTCATGGTAATTTTGGTGAGAAGTGTATGCCCACTTAACTGACTAATTTGCTGGTGGTTCTTTACTGTAAAAAGCTAGGATGGGGCTATAGGTGTGGAAGGAATGGGTGCAGGGGAACAAGCTCTGGTATTGCCAAATCGGTGTTTGTGTTGAATTGTCAGTTATTTTTCTTGTTTTAATTATGTGAAGCACCCTATCTACTGCTTCTAGAAAGGACTTGAAGGGCTAGGTAACTGCAGTGGACACTTCAGTCATAAGTATAACTTGTCATCAGCTGTCCTGTTTCCTCTTCTGCCTTTGTCTGACAATAACAGAAACTGTTGCTGTTTTCCATCGGGGTGACTAGTTTTCTCTGTATCTTTGTACACTACTATCTTGCTTTTCTTCTAAGAGTCTTTACTTTTCAGTTTGATTGACTCTCCTTCCCTTCATCGTCTTACAGGTGAGAGAACAAGATATACCCCAAAACTGTGTTATCTATTTTTATTTTCTTTAATCACCTCTTTTAGCTGAGATTTAAGGGGCATGAAAGCTCACAATTATCCTTTGGGTGTAGTGGTTGTTCCACTGGGAATATAAGTGGGCAACCAATGATACTTAATTTTTCACATTTAAGCCTGCCAACACTCAAGGATTGCTTTAGCTGGGTGTTGAGTTTTTGGTTATGCTTGTTTCAGAAAAGCACCTCTGTTCTACTTGGCCCAAAAGTTGTTTCCTCTTCTGTGATATTTCTTTTTCTTCCTGAGGTAACTGTTTTGTGCTTACTGTTAGAGGAAATGCTGCTTCTGTACTGAGAATACAAAGACTGCTAATGAAAGGCGGTTTAAAATTTGATCTGGATGAACCCTTTGCTGAACTTACTTAGGAAACAGGTTGCTTTAGTATCTGAATAGAGCTGATTGAAAAATTTTGAACTTCAGTGAATACAGTAATCTCAGACAAACTAAATACCAAAACAAAAACTGCAGTTTTTCTTTTTCTGGAAAAGGTTCTTTTTCAACAGAAATCTCTCAAATTATTTTTATTTTGTTTGTTTGTAACTTTTTTGGTTAAAATGTTCACTGGAAAGGGAGTTGATTTATTGTTGCGAAGTTTGTAACTGTCATGAGGAAAGAAAAATGAAAGATAAATATTTTCTGACTCATTCTGCCTGTGAGTTTATCTGTGCTAGTAAAATACACGGGTGTGGACAGAAGAACAGGAAGTTGCATATATACATATATACATATATGCATATATATACACTCACCACCACCAAAGAGGATTCCATTTTTTGTGGTAGGTACACATTGTTGTGTTGGCAATGAAGTGATGTTCCTGCACAGTGTTAATTGGTGCAAGTCTTTTTTAAAATCTGATTAATATAAATAAAAGGATTCATCATTAAGGCTGGTCTGGTCTCTGTGGAAGAAGGTGGTATATATGTCAGAGGGCTGTTCAGCTCTTCAGTTGCTGCCACTTTTAGTATGGTCTCCCTCCTGTATCATCCTGTATCAAAAGAAGAAACAATTCGGTTTTTTACTAAGATGAGCTTTTCTGTTGCCCTTGTGATCTGTTGATGCAGAACACACGATTTCTAGAGAGAGAGAGGGAGAGAGAGAAAGGAAAAAACTTCAGGATCATACTGGATGATGAACTTTTTTTCCTTCACAAGGGCTGTCTTGGTTGTTTAGAAAACATAGAAAAATCTTCAGTGCTATGATGTGAATGCCATGTTCCATGGCTTGGACAGGTGCACTCTTCACTGGATAAAAAGCTGTCTGGCTAGCTGGACACAGGGAGTGATGCTTAATGCAGTTTTATCCATATGGATGGTCACTAGTGGAGTTCTGCAGGGCTCAGTTTTGGGGCTAGCCCTGATTAATGGAACTCAGTTTGCAGGTGACAGCACATTAGGTGGGAGTGTTGATCTGCTGGAGGGCAGGAAGGCTCTGCAGAGGATCTGGACAGGCTGCATCGATGGCCTGAGGCCAGTGCTGTGAGGTTCAACAAGGCCAAGTGCCGGGTCCTGTCCTTGGGTCACAACAGCCCCAGGCAGTGCCACAGGCTGGGGCAGAGTGGCTGGAAAGGACCTGGGGGTGCTGGTGACAGCAGCTGGACATGAGCCAGGGTGTGCCCAGGTGGCCAAGGGGGCCAATGGCATCCTGGCCTGGATCAGCAATGGTGTGGCCAGCAGGACCAGGGCAGGGATTGTCCCCCTCTACTGGGCCCTGAGACCATGGGCATTTGAGACCATGCCTCAAATCCTGTGTTTCATTTGTTTTGGATTCCTCACTACAAGAGAGACTTTGAGGTGCTGGGGAGTCCAGAGAAGGTCAACAGAATTGCGGTGGGGAGCACAAGTGCTTTGAGGAGCAGCTGAGGGAACTGGGGTGTTTAGTTTGCAGGAAAGGAGGCTCAGGGGAGACCCTTTCACTCCCTACAACTGCCTGACAGGGGGGTGTATCCAGGTGGGGGTTGGCCTCTTCTCCCAGGTAGCAAGGGACAGAGTAAGAGGAAATGGCCTCAGATTGTGCCAGGGAAGGTTGATGTTTACATTGGACATTAGGAAAAAAATTTCTATACCACAGGAGTGGTCAGGCCTTCACAGTGACTGATGAAGTCACCATCCTTGGAGATACTTAAAAGATGTGTAGATGTTCCTTTGAGAGGTCTTTTCTGATTTATGTTTCTATGTGTGTTGTGTTATTCAGGGACTTTGCCCACTATATTAACCTGAATTTTGGCAGAGATTTTCTCCAGAAGTTAATGGAGTTTTCTTGCTAAGGACTGTTAAGTTCCTAAACCCTGTAAAACTTTTATTTTACATGCCTTCCATCTGACAAAGGAAGTGTGAGAGCACAGCTGAATAGAGCAATTAAGACCGTTCAAAATTTATAGCTAGTAAAAAGTCTGTCTAATGTGACACCAATTTTAAAAGAAGGAATGTCCAGGCAACCAGCTTGCTTTTATTTTTAATCAATTTAAACTTGTTTTTGTTTGTTTATTTTGTCCTTCTGCCATCACAGCATACACCATTTCTTCCTGAAACTGTTTCCCAAGCTTTTCCTAGTTTGTATTACTAAGATTTCACCTAGCAGTTTTCAAACCCTGATGATGTGGTGCAGCTGCAGATATATATATGTACTTTGTGGCCTTTGGCTTCACTATGTAGGATTCCAGGAACATGTAGGACACTTAACAGCAGTTTTGCATTACCAGAACAGTATATGCCAGCTAGATTTGCTGTTTTATAGGATATCTGCAACTTACTCGACTTCACTGCTCAGAATAAAATACCCAAAGCCTCTAAATTCCTTACAAATTTGTCTGTCTGGTCGGAAACAAAGCACACAGGTTTCATACCTCCATTAGTCTCCAATTACCTGGCTCATCTGAGGAGCTCTGAGGTAACAACAAAAGCACAGACTTTCTCTACCAGCAGTGAACACCAAAAGCAGATGCTGTGTCTTTAAACTTGTATAAGCCTGTCACAGCAAAGCACACCAAGGCAGCAGATTATTTGATCAGCCCTTGGAATACTCTACCAGCCTTCAGTTACCCCAGCACCAAGTACCATGTCCTAGACAGGAAGAGGCAGGGGTTGTGTGAAAGATTGCAGGGTTTAGTAGGCCCCTGCAGCTTAGTTTATACTGATGAGGTGAAATTTTATTGTACTTCTACCACCAAGCATCGTTGTATATGAATGGTATTACCATTTGTACCTATTGCATTAACAACATGGAAAAAATGTTTTTCTTCTCAGAGAAAGTTGCAATTAAGATTTTGGACAAGACAAAGCTAGACAGGAAGACTCAACGTTTGCTGTCTCGTGAGATATCCAGCATGGAAAAGCTGCACCACCCAAATATCATCAGGCTGTATGAAGTGGTGGAGACACTCTCAAAACTGCACCTGGTGATGGAGTATGCAGGAGGTGGGGAGCTCTTCACTAAAATCAGTACAGAAGGAAAGCTGCTAGAAACAGAGTGTAAAATAATCTTCTCCCAGATTGTGTCTGCTGTGAAGCACATGGTAAGTTGTTCTTACACAGGCATGCTGCCTCTCACTATTCTGAGCTCATTTTGTGGATATTTCTTTTGAATTTCAACAGTAGATGTACTATTACCCAAAATTTCAGGTGCACATTTCTGGTATGTGAGGGTTTTCACATCCACCTCAAGTTACTGCCTCTCTGTTGACAGCTTTTGGGAGGAGACTGGAAACACCTGATGGGTAGAATCACTCTTCTAGCACCAGTGTTCTGTTTGCTTTAATGTGCTGTGGGCACCAGTGAACAAAGCTTCCTTTCTTCCCTCCCTGTTTCAAAACACAGGATCAGTCACTCCTCAGCTTTCAGAGAGGCTGGTTAGATGTTGCAAACATCCGGCTTGCTTATAAATGAATGTCTGGAGACTGCATCACACACTATTCGTGGCTTACATAAACAGCATGGATTTCTTATGTATTTTGACAAAATGATCGTATGTGCGTTAAGTGGTGAATTAGCTTCAACATTTAATCCATCGGACAGGCACCCTGCAGCTACACAAAATGAATTTACATTTCAAAATTACACCACATCTATTTCTTAGAATTATACATAGATTATCAGGCTGGCCAGCCTCTTCATTTGTACACTTCTGCCCATTTCACTTTTGCTAAGTCATCACATCCAGGCTACACAAATCCTACCTCCCTGCTGCCAGCCCACAAGGACAGAGGATCACTGGCAGTTACTGATGAAAGCTGAAATCGGATGCCAAAGGGTTTCTTTATTGCTTCCAGACACCGTATGATGTTACTCTAAAGGATAAGGTGGAGAGTGCTTATCCATTCCTTCTAGTTATTCCAAAGATGAAGCTAAACTCTTAATCAAGACAGGTATGTCATGACTAAGCAGAGCAAATTCAGTTTGAGTCCATAACTACTACTACCAATGGAAAAAAAGTAGAAATTAAGGTGTATGTATTACAGATTTCTAAAACTAGAACACTATTAAACTTGGTTGTCCTGCAACATGAAGTACTGTGAAGCCCAAGTCTGTGGTCCTTTTCTCCTGCCCTCACCAGTTCCTCATAGGACATTAGATCACAGAATATAATGGTAGCAAATTTCTTACACTATCTCTGATAATGTTCAGTTGGTGAACTAAATGTTTAAATCTGTAAGGTACATGTAGTAACTGCAAAAACAAGTGCTGTGAACCCTAAAAAAATAAAAATTTTGCACATAAAAGGTGTCTAGTCTTGTAGGATTAGTCACACTGTCCTCACACATTTGCTTCATGAGAATAGTTGCCATTAGTTAACAAGTTGAGAGTGCTGTGCTTAAAAAAATCCCAGCATCCTTCTTCTCCCCCATTTCAATTGTTTTTGTATCCTTGGAGAATTAAATTAAAATTGTTTAATAATATTTCCAATTGCAATACTAGTTTCTGAATTTGCTCAAGATAACTCCCTTTCTCCTTCAGGGTAATTAACCAATTAGAGGTAGCCATTGAGAACTTTCCTGGGAACAAACCAATACCAACTTTTCCTCTTCTTCCACAGCATGACAATAATATCATTCACCGGGACCTGAAAGCAGAAAACGTGTTCTATGCCAGTAACACCTGTGTTAAGGTGGGAGACTTTGGATTCAGTACATTAAGTAAAAGAGATGAAACTTTAAAGACTTTCTGTGGCTCTCCTCCTTACGCCGCTCCTGAACTCTTCCGAGATGAAAACTATATTGGCATCTATGTAGACATCTGGGCACTGGGAATCCTCTTATACTTCATGATGACAGGTAGCATGCCATTCCGGGCAGATACAGTAGGCAAGCTGAAAAAGTGCATTCTTGAAGGGACATACACTTTGCCTCCCTGCCTCTCAGAAAATTGCCAGAAACTGATAAAAGGAGTCCTTCAGCCAGTACCGACCAAGCGATACTCTGTCAAACTGATTATGAACAGTGAATGGATGCAAGGAATACAGTTCCCCAAACCTTTACAGACATTTAAACTGGATCCGAAATATTTATCAGATATCAGTACACTAAAAGAAGAAGAAATTGAAGTGAAAAATATTATGGAAGATCTGGGAATCACAGAACAGCACATTCAGAACAACCGGGGAAGAGATGCACGCAGCTCCATAACAGGGGTCTACAGAATCGTGTTGCACAGAGTACAGAAGAAAAGGGCACTTGAATGTGTTCCTATCATGTCCCAGCCAGATCCAACAGAAGACAACTCGAGAAACAGAATCACTTCTTACAGTGGCATTAAGCACACATCCAAGCTGTGTTCTATTTTATAAAACTGCACTGCAGGCTTTATGCTCAGCACATTTGACAAAGGGGATTATTCACTTATCCTTAAGCTGTAGTGTTAACATTTTTTTGTAACTTTTGAATAAACCAAAAATGCCTCATCTTCTTTGCATTGCTCAATTAGCAGTGAAGCACTCAAAACTAGAGCTCTTGTGCATTTATTTGACCATTTCTCCATATACTTGGTATGGCCAGAGCAAGAACCCAGTAACTGCAAAGATCATGAGTAGAGGGGATCTTTTAATAAATGCCGTACTACTGTACTTAACCTCTTTGGGAGATTCTCTGCACAGACTTGTAACAGCTAACTTCTGAAAGCCCAACACAACTTCACCACTGAAAATCAAGACAGTTTTTGCAGAGAACTAAAGTTAAGCAGAGACCAGACTATAATCTAAACAATTGCAAATTCTTTTGAACTTCCTCATCAAATTTAACAAGTTAATTTTTAAAAAGCATTTTATTTTCTTTCTAGAAACATCAAAGCTGTTGTTGGCTGCAGTTCCCAACTTGTCACGATTCCAGAAGACAAAGCAGGATTCAATACTTCAACCCTGTACGTGTGGCTGCCTGACTGGTGGGCTACCATCAATTACCCTTGTGACGCCTTCCACTGCTTGCATGATTCTGCCACTCTGGAATTGCTTGGACTCCAGCTTCATTCCAATAAAGAAAGATTTAAGCATACTCCAAAACCCATGTAGTGTTAAGTTCTTGCCTTAGCCCTTGTTAGCAGCAGCTGAATGCAAGCAGCAGCAAAACCTGCTTATATTCACTGAGCATTACAGGCTTGTCCTCACTCCTGTCATCCTGCTTTGGCAACCAAAGCTCGCACAAAGCTGATTGTGACCCTTGATCACTGCAAGTTAAAAGCTGGACAGTCTGACAGCTCCAGTTGTTCTGAGCATCACCAAAATGCAGATGCTCTGATTTTCGGCTTTAGTCGCTTATTCTATGCTTAGATCTTGAGCAGCATCAACTCCAGTGCAAAGGACAAGTGTGGCAGCTGTTCTCTGAACAGGGACAGCTGACATGCCTGAGCTGAGAGGTTGAACCCCTGAGGAAAGATACCCAACATAAGATGTACACAGGTACAGCTGGTGCTCTTCCATTTAAAGGCAGGATGCCTTATCTGTTATGACACCAATGAGACAGTAATTTCACTTTAGAGGGAGTAATTAATATAAATGAGCAGTGGAATAGACTCTGAAAAGCCGTGTATTGGAAGCTGGACTCAGTGAGGCTCAAGTGTGTACAAAGCAAGAACCAAGCCTCCTTCACAGAATTCCTGAGGGTAATTAAACAATACGAATTTTTATAGAACAGTGATTAATTTCATTTCATAAAGTGGGTATTAATTCCTCCACTATAAACAGTTTCCATATAAAAGCATTTTAAGTTGTCTTGAAACGTAGCCCTGATAAAATTGTTCTACACCAGCCTAAGCAACTCTTTTTTTTCCTACTTTTTAAATGGAATCACTAAGCAGAAAGATGCATAATGTCCACAAAGCTTGTGACCCCACAACTCTGGGTTTTTACCAGAGCCAGCTTCCTCTTTCCTGTTAAAGAAAAATAAATCCATCCCAAAAAACCAACAAGTCAGCACTACTCCAACAGGTTTCAAATATCTCAAACTTTATTTTAATAAAGGATCAGCCTCACAGACGTGTGAGGCCTGTGCCAGTAGATCACTTCTTGGCTTGTCCACTGCCAGCAATGGACTTTGTTCCATGACAGTTTGTTTTACAGGTGCCAAGATTAAGTTTCATGAGGGCAACCTAAACCAAAATACTTGCAAAAACACTATCATCATGCATTGCTCCATCATTTTCAGCAGAACAAACAGATTAGTATTCATCAATTTATAATAAACAACTATTTTACCAAGGCTTGACTGTACAAATACAGCAAGTTATCAAATCCTAGTGAGTGACAGGTAATACAAACACTTCATTACACACACAAAAAAAATGTAATTAACAGAAATAATTTTTTGCTACTTTATATTAGTTAATGTAGCCTTGTAGAATTAGCAAAGAAATAAATTCATTGAAACTTCCTTCTGTACATTAGTTCAACTTAAATATATATATACATATATATGTATGTATATATATATATATATTACAAGCTTAAAAGGCTCATATCATAGTTCATTTCCAATCTGGGCTTTAAAAATCTACCAGAATGGACTCCCCATAACCACTGTAAATCTATCTACTGCTTGCAAAATGGATAGCTTTAGCTCACACACTTGGGGAAGGGGGGAAAGAAATAAAAGACTCCACTCCTACAATATTACCAATAGTGAGAAGGACTTCAAAGTACAAAGCCAGATTCAAAGCTAGAAAGAGTCTTTTGGAAATGTATTATATAAAAGACAACTAACAGACTAGCATTCCAGACAAAGTGATAAACATCACTCTCTTCCTTCGTTTGCCAATTAAAACAGCTCCACAATAGCTCTAAATTTTATTTGATAATTCTGCTGTCTTGGATATTCTACTAAACCATCTATTATTGTGTCAAATGAATGATCCCCTTTCTTTAGAATAAAAAAATTTACTACCTCACTTCTTCGTCTTTCCTCCCAGTCTCCTGTAACTTAAAAGGCAGGTATAAATCACGTAAGATGTTAGGAGGAATTACATAGTAACTAACACAGTGGATCACAGAATCTCTTCTAAGAAAACCATTTGTCAGCCTAGCTGTTCTTGATCCAGTCACTTTGACAGGGAAGAGAGGTTCTATTCCAGCAATGGATGTTCTTGGTTCTATGCCTGTCCCAAAGTAATGGGGTGAGGGAAGCAGACTGGGAGGTGAACAGGAAGGTGATAAAGTGAAAGAGAATTGCAGTATTCAGAAGGCTGACTGCTTACTGTCAAGGCACTGAGAACCCTAACATTAAAAGCTTGGACTATTTTGCACACACTTGAGTACTAGTAGAAGTTAACAGTGTAAGTTTCAAGTCATTTTACATGGAAGAGCAGGCAGAAGATTCCTTTTTTTTTTCCTTTCTGTGTATGAAGATTTTGTAACAGACTACAGCCGCTTCTCAGCAATTAAAATTCAGACATTTTAAGGAATCCCCACAGCACCTGGCAATCCTTCTATCTCCAATACACTCCTGATTTTAGTGTTCTGAAAATACTACAAAATCAGCACACCATTATTATGATGATTTTTTTTCAAGGAGCCTAAACAGTTTTTTCATGCTCCAATTAAGTACTAGTGTACACTGAAACTTCAGTGGTACTGCAATCCTTTTTCTCTCTCTCTCACCCTGCCCTCACACCTTGCTTCTTTCCCCACCTCACAGAGGTATCTTAATGCTCCCCATTGGAAATGGCGACAGTAACGCCTTCAGATTCTGTTGCTGCAGGGATTCTTGGCACTTTCTTAGCAGGGCTTGGGATGTGCTAAGAAGAAGGGAAAAAAAAAATTAAATACAGTTTTCTAGTTCACAGACATTCATACTTCATGGCTAGCCCAACTCTCAAACAACATTCATGCTACAATGGACGGCTTGGCCTTAAGTCAATCAAACTGGTCATGCTTCATGCAAACAGATGGTGTGAGAAGAGCCAGTTTGTTCCTCTTTCATTCTTGTGCAGTTTCGTTCTTTTTATGATGAAATGTACTTTTTAAAATTGCAGTTTCAACTTTTTACTTCTGACTTGTATGTTAAGAGTGTTAACAAAGTATTCAATGTAACTCGTAAAACCACTTCCTCTTAACATACATGCACATACTAAGACAAACATGTAAATGGTTCCACCATTTACATCAAATTTTAAAAGAGTGCCGAGTGTTCACCTCATGAACAACGCCTGGGTGGACAACTCCAACTCTTGCTTCCAGAGGTCCATCACTCATGAGTGGGCGCCGGGCATAAGTTCTCCTGTGTTTTTCATCCACACGCACAAGGTACCATGTTCCTTCGAAGAGATCCTCCACTGAACACTGTGGAATATAATTGGCTGTAAGAAAGGGAATAACACATTGTTAGTTGTTTCCTGGTAAGAGTTTTACCCAACACAGGCCTTTGCAGATTGGATGCACTGAGACAGAAAAAAAATAATCCACCATTTTTACTTCAGACGTTGGGCAAAATGAACACAAGCTACTTAGAAGCAGAAAGGGTTGGACATTTCCTTCCTTCTACACCCTCATCATTTAAAGTCTGGTGGATTAAGTGATAAGCATTTTGCTCGAGGACTAGGAATGATTGACATTTATTAGGTTCTTACCCAAATGGTGTGTTTCCTGTCTGAGCTTCATGTTTTCAGCAAAGACATCAGGTGCAATACATTTTCTTGAGTCAAGTCTTGTTTTGAGATCAGAAAGGCTAGCAGTTATTTTGTCCAGTGCAGAACCTGCAATATAGAACCATCATGTAAGGTAGAGTCAGTACCGAGAACTGCACACTAGTATGTGAACATTCAAAGTACTTTGCATTATAGAATCTGAAGTATAAATCATTTAAAATATTCCCAATTACCCAACAGAGTTTGAAGACTGTTATTTATTTGTTCAAGGAGACACTTAAACACTCCCTGGAGCTGGACATTCTCAGTGTAGCACTGCTGTCATTAAGGAACTGCCCTGCAGGTTTCCTTATGCTAGTGGGTTGTGCAACAAGGCATGAAGAGTGAGCTGAGCAAGGGGGCAGATGACATCACCTCCAGTCACTCACCAGGAGTGGCATCCTGTGTGACCCTGATGGAATACAGGGTAGCAGCAAAACCAGAGCCATATGAGAACACACTGATTCTCTGTCCCGCAAGCTGCTCTGGGGAGTACCTGCAAATCATACAACAGCTTTTTAAAGTCAGAACTAAGCCAAAGTGCCAGTTCTAAATAACTAGAAACTGCATCTAGCTTTGAAAAAGCAATCAGCAAATTACAGTGTCTATAATATACTATACACATTTAGCATACTATGTGCATAAATGCTGACTTTTAAAAAAACGAATTCAAATACTGATGTTATGTGATGAGTTTGAAAGCTGCCTAGAGCAAAACATACATGAGAAATGCCCAAAATATGATGAAGGCAGACAGATTTCACTCTTAAGCAAACTAAAGCCAAAAAAATGAATGCATCTTGGAAGACAGTATCAGAATAAAGAAAAATAAAGAAAAAATAAAAAAAAAAAAAGAAAAAACCCAGGAGGAGTGGTTTAATATAAACTTAATACAATTTTGTAAAAGGCTGTATTTGAAAAAAAAAAATTAACTGCTTATTTAATTTGGCTTTACTTATTATAGTAAGACCGAGAAGACATTCAGATTTTTTTCCACTTCAGGAATGTTTCTAGGGGAAGGAAGAGGGGGAAAGTTGGGGTTGAGAACAGACACTACCTTACAAATAAGATCCTACTTTGCAAGGCAGTAAGTAGCTGTTTTGCATCAGCTTCTGACATAGGCATTTTCAATCTGTGTGTCACCCGAACTGAGTATGTGTGCAGAATTGTGTTGTAACTTTAGTTTTTCTGCTTAAGGCAATCTTGTATGGAAAGGTTTGCTAGATGACGCTTTTACAAGACTTTCTGAAAAAACCTCTTATGACCTTATTCATAAACAGCTTTTCCCAATTTTATACTTACTGGGCTAGAAGGGAGGCAAGGCAACCATAGACTGAAGGGGTATACATATTTCCATTCTGATTGGATACAAGTAATG